TTTACCTTCAGAATGTCTATTATTGGCATTTGTGAGTAAAACAAAGGCTAGGCCAATCTCAGGGAAGACTGGTGATACAACCAAATCCACGTACTCATCATATTTCAAATTTTCCTCATTTGGGTCAAAATTATGCTCTCTGGGACCTGCTTTGCCCCTTGCTGAGTCTGGCAGCCTGAACATCAAATCCAGATGAACCTCAGGCAGCCAGAGCTCTCGGTTGATGGCCCAAAAGCTCAAGCTGAGAGTCTGGCAGCCTCTCCTGACAGCGGTGCCAGTTCATAAAGGAAAGCAGAACCTGCATTCAATCTTTACGTGACACCTCATTTAAACCAGACTGCTCTGCTTTTGTGAGACTTGACGTTATTTATTCCTCAGAGAGGGAATGAGTGACTCACGAGATCTTGTGATTTCTCAGCCTCTCACAGAAGTAGGCAGATGGCAAGTGAAGGGCTGGGCCAAGGAAAAGGATGGCAGGCGGGTGAGGCTGATTAGGCCCCTCCAAGGCCCCCTGCTCACACAGGAGGCACGCTTCCCACCGTGAAACCAGCCAGAACCCATTTTGCCCAGCAGGAAGAGGTGGTTGAGCGTGAGCTCCAAGTACCCTGTGGTCTAGATTCCTACTGCATTTTGTTTTGGATCCATCCTGTGCCTGCCTTACAAGGCCTGCCCTCCTGCCAGCTATGGTGCATAGCTCTCTCTTCCTGCTCTAATGTGCCATTATGTCTTTATTCAAATGTAGGTAAACTGCTCATTGGGCCGCTCTCTCTCCTTTGCTGCCCAAGCACCTGTTCCTGCCTCTTGTATCCAATTATATATCTCTTCTGTCCAATTGAGCTACTGGAGACATACATTTTGTAAAGATTAAAAGCCTGAGTCTGGGGCCAGACCACTGAGTCTGAATGCTAACAGCGCCAATTCCCAACCCTGACCTTGGCCTTGTTGCTTTACTTCTCTAGGCTTCCTTTTCTTACACATAAAGTTGGAATAATACACTCATTACTCAGGCTCTTTAGAAACACCCTGACACTATTTTATTAAGGAAGGGAGGGAGAAGAGGAGGAATGAAAGGAGGAGAAAAAGAGAAATAAAGAACCATGTATTATTCATTGTCTATGTTGTACTTCATTAAATTCATTTATTCATTCATGAATCCACGCAATGTTTCAACTACTGAACAAGATCATCCCTGACCTCAAGGAGTTCACAGTAAAGAAGGTGTGACAATAAGTGACACCAGTGTTCAACCACTAACGTAACAGTGTGATGACAGAGAGGGACAGCAGACTGGCATCACTCAGAAGCACATGGCTCTGGAGACTGAGTTCAAATTCTGGTTCTGTCAACTCCTGGCCATGTGACCTTTCTAGCACCTCCTCTGTGGAACTGCTGTGGGGTTGAGGTTAAAAAGGGAAGTCAGGGCCTCCATAGTGGCGCAAGGGATTAAAGACAGTGCTATCAAGCTATCTCCAGCCACTGCAGTTCAATCCCCTGAGGCCAGGAAGCATCCCACATGGCGCAGCAGACCTCTCCTGTCTCACCTGCTGCTCCCCTTAGCAGTGTATTTCAGTCAGTCTGCCTGTTCTGTTCCCCACTCTGTCTCTGGTGAATCCTCTCACCCCTCACACCTCTGGTTTGCACACCAGTTCTTGCATGCATAAATAAAATTAAAAAAAAAAAAAGTGAAGTCAGACCGGAGGTATGCCAGGCACATAGTATAACAATGTTAGTTACACATATTACTCAGGGCCTCCCCAGTGGCACAGCGGTTGAGTGCTGGGTTGCGATGTTGCCCGCAGACTCTGCAGCACCGGTTTGGTCCCCGGCCGCCAGGCAAGGGTCCCACATGGTGCGCAAACCTCTCCTGTCGCCCGCTGCTCCCCTCAGCAGTGTATTTCATCTGCCTGTTCTGCTCCCCGCTCTGGCTCTGGTGAATTCTCTCACCCTCCCGTGCTTCTGACTGTACCCAGTGCTTGTATAAATAATAAATAAATAAATCTTTTTAAAAATTATTAAAAAAACAAAAAACAACAAATATTACTCACCAAAAAGATTCAGTGAGCCTCTCTCAAGATGTCTAGAATAGGCCTTATCCAGGGCCTCCCCGGTGGCGCAGCGGTTGAGTGCTGGGTTGGGAAGCTGCCCGCAGCCTCTGCGGCACCGGTTCGATCCCCAGCTGCTCCCCGGCCACCGGAGGAGGGTCCCACATGGCGCGCAGACCTCTCCTGCCGCCCGCTGCTCCCCTCAGCAGTGTACTTCGGTCCTTCTGCCTGCTCTGCTCCCCGCTCTGGCTCGGTGAATTCTCTCACCCTCCCGCTTTTCTGACTGTACCCAGTGCCTGTATAAATAAATAAATAAATAAATAAATAAATAAATAAATCTTAAAAAAAAAAAAAGAATAGGCCTTATCCAATATGTGACTCCCTAGTATGTGGAACGAAGGTCAATTGAAGCCATTTGAGCCTCAGGAGAGAGACTGTTACTGTTACTTAAAGAATGCAGATTACTTAGATTTAGGGGTATACCCAGAAACAAACTTTTTATCAGAGAAACCTCTCATAAGGCAGGGCAACTTCTTGAGACAAGTTTTGTCAAATGAAGTTATCCCCTCCTTGTCACATGAAACCCACTCCTTTCTTCTTGATGCCCCAAACCCCTTAAAATGGGATATAAACTCTCCAGCTTTCCCCATTTACTTTATAATCTATTGCCATGAACATTCTCCATGTTATTAAATTTGGTCTTTTTCGCCTACTAATCTGGAAGATGTTAGTTTGTGTGTTCATCCAGTCTCAGAAGAACCCTGAGGGGTTGGGGGAAGATTCCCCTGCACCCTGACATATATATGTATCATACATACATATGTGCCTGTGTGAATATATATTAATATACATATGCATAGGGCTTCCCTGGTGGCACAAGGGGTTGAGACGCAACCTATGAGGCAATCTGGAGCCTCTGCAGCACGAGTTCCATCCCCGGCTGGGGAGCTACCCACATGGAGCAACAGACCACTCCTTCTCGCCCACTGCTCCCCTCACCAGTGTATTTCGTCAGTCTGCCTGTCCTGCTCCCTGCTCTGTCTCTGAATCTTCTCACCCCCCCCACCTGCCCCCCTCACCTCTGGCATGTGCCCCAGCTCTTGTATGCATGAATAAATAAATCTTAAAAAATATATACACATATGCATAATAGCGATCCACTGCAGAGAGCAACAGGAGTACAGAAGGTGGGAAGTAAACTCGAGTCAGGCAGGACTGCCAAGAAGAGGTGACACATGCTATCAGTCTTTAAGAGTGAGTGAGAAAGGGGTGGGAAAGCAGAGGAAGGCTGATTTAAACTGAAGTTCCAGCACATGCAGAAGCACGAGGAGGGAAATCATCAGCACTCCATAGTGCCCCAGGAGGGCCTCAGAGAGATGTATTGGAGGGGCAGGCGGGAGCTGAGTCACACAGGCCCATTACTAATGAATCTGGATCTTGCCTGAGGAGAATACAGGGCTATGGAAATAGTTTAAGCCGGAGCCTGTCATGAACATTTTGGCACTTTCTAAATCATCCACTTTCTGGACTGCCAGTGTTATGCAATTATAAGGCCAAACATATTTATTTATCTTAATTCTTTAGGAAGTGATCAATCTTGTGGGAAGGATCTGTGCTTGTCTCTTTAATCTCTAAGAGTGCCTGGAATAATATATGGGCACATTTGATTTGTCTAACAAATATCAAGTGATGAAGTCATATAATTTACGCATATTGCATATGGTGATTTGTGGTTACTTCAGAAAATTAACTGGAACATTCTGATGGAAGATAGAAACGAGGGTGGGGACATAGACTTTATTCTAGCGAGATATTAAAGGGTAAATGCCCTTAAAGCATTCATTGGGCCTTAGACTTTGATGCAATGGAAGGCCGTTCATTTTTATCATAAAACTAATTAGAAAGCTATGGAAAGGGAGTTCAAAGAAACTAGCCAATCTCATGGAGAAACAGTCTGGATCTCTGAACACAGCTCTCTGTCATTCATTCCTGTTTTTTCAACAATGATTTATTGAAGTTCTTGCCCTATCTGAGAGGCTAAATTAGAATAGTGTACCTAGGGAAGATTACACTAAAGCAGGGGAGACCAGGTAGATACAAGAAACACACTCATAATTACATACTGACAACTTGTGATAAGAGCCCAGAGAGAAAACAGCAGGGCCTAATGCAAGGACAGAAAGGAAGGGAGACCTGCTGGAGGCTGAGTGAGGGTTACAGCAGGTCTCCTGAGAAGGAGTAAGAGAAAGGGGAGCAGGAAGAAGCCAGGACAAGGCCGATGGGGAGAGAGCTACCAGCAGGGGAGCCCCTCTAATCCCCCCACCCCAGGTCAGGTAGAAATGCTTTGTGAACCTGAGGAACAGAAAGGAGGCCTGTGTGGATGAGCCTGGAGGGAGGAGGGGATTAGTGGGGGTGCCAGAAGGCCAGAGGCAGAGAGACCAATCAGGACAGTAGGAAAAGGGTGGAAATCATGAGAGCTTGAACACACTCAGCGAGTCCCAGTGGCATGAGTTCAGGGAACAATCTCAGGCCGGCTGTGGGGTCAGCCCCACAGGTAATAAAGGCCCCCAGGGGATCCCTGCCAAGTCCGTGGTTGGCAAGGGCAGGAGCCTGGACTGGATGCAGAACAATGGAGACAGAAGTCTCAGGAGCAATGCTGACCTGACTTGAACTCTACACGCCCAGCGTGGCCTTGCACAAGTCAGTAGCCTAGTGCATGGGCCGTGACAGCAGTTCTCGCCCAGCGCGGGTTTAGGGTTTGCAGCTCAGCGCCTGAATGTCTGGCCCAGGGACGGTGCTCAACAAGCAAACGCTTGTTGCTTTTACTGGGAGGAAAGGACTTATTCCCCAGACATGAAGGCGGCGGGGGGGGGGGGGGGGGGGGGGGGGGGGGGGGTCTGTCAGGGGGCTCCACCGGGCAGGACAAGGTTGGGGGTGGGGGCGATCATGAGGGGTTCCAGCAAGAGGCGAGTTTCAGCCTGAGCAGTTGGGTGTGGGTGCGGATGCCACCCACAGAGGAAGGAACTGCGTTCCGGAGTGGGGGTGCACTTGTTGCGTGACTTGGGCGAGGAAGCAAGAATCCGCGCGCCCGGGGGGCGGAGCGAGAGGAGGAAGGAGAAGGTAGGAGCCAGGACCGGGGAAGCAAGGTGAGGGCCCCGCGGCGCCGAGAAGCGACCGCGGGTTCCGGGGGTCGGGGGGAAGGCTGTTGGGGGGCCGCTGCGGCAGCGGGGGTCGGGCTCGGCTGCGCGGGCGCCGGAGACAGGGGCGGCGAGGCGACCCCCACGCCTGCAGGTGAGCCTGACAGCGGGGTATCGTTGGGGACGGGGTGCAGGGCGAGGAGCTGGAGGTGGCCGCCTCTGTCCGTTTCTGGGGTCCTCGGGGGACAAGGGCGTCTGGGGGCTGCGCGGGCCTGCCGCCAGGGCTCTCCCCAGCCAGGCCTCCCCCTCCTGGCTCGGACCTGGCAGTGATCCCGCAAAGGTAGGGGTATGGGGGGCGGGGGAGGGGGGAGACAGGGTCGTGCCTGCTGCCTCTGGCTGGGGATGGCGGCGATTTACTGCGTGATGATTCCGGGCTTTCCAGAAAGTGCGGTGACCGGCTCCTGCTGTCCTTCCCAGCATGCGCCTTCACCCCTCAATCTACTTACTGCTCGCTGCCTTGTCCACTTGCCCTCCTGGCAGCACACCTGCCCCCCACCCTCCTTCCGCTCCTGAAGAAGCAGAGGGACCCCATTCCAGGGCTGGGTGCGGTGGTGGAAACTGCTTCTGGAAGACAAGCCCAGGGAGGACTTACTAGATGTGGACTGATGATTAATTGGTGAGAGGGGATCAGACCACCAAAGCTGAGATGTTGTGGTATCTCTGCTTTCTGATTTGGGGGTAACAGCCAAACTCTTGACTAAATAAATATAATCTAATTTGACCTTAGGTGAGCAAAGACTCTCTGGGAGTCCTCAGGAAATAAGGGGGCCAGGGCGACTGTGACAGCTGCCCATTACTGCTCAGACACTCTCTGTGTTCTGCATGCAGAACCTGAGGGACCCCCCTCTTCATCCCTCACCTTCACCCCTCATCCTTGCAAGTCTCTCAAGGTTGCTGTGTCCACCACCCCCACTTAAAAGGTTAGAAAACTGAGGCACAAGCGTGTTAAGTTACCCCAAAGCACAAATCCTGGAGTCAGGATTTGAACTCTGATTCCAGGACTTTTCACTGTAAGGCACCATGGTGCCTCTACAAGAAGCGTTGACACTTAAAGTGAAACTTGGTTTCACCCTTGGCTCATATGCCTGGCTGTACAGTAGGAAACAGACTTGTACATGAGATGTAAGTTTTGCAGGGAAATTAGTAGTATTCTTGAAGTTCAGGGCTGCACAGTCCGGTGGCCATTGGGGTGGGAATGTGGTTCTCATTGTCCACCTGGCATATGCCCTGCAGTATCTAATCACTTTCCCAGTCATGTGACACCAAGGGAATGATTCATTCCCTTCTTCAGAAACACCCTGTCTTTATCAACTATTCCTTCGCAGTCTTTTCCCTGGTCTGTTTGATTTTTTCTTTCTCTTATTGGTATTTCCTTACTCTCAGGGTCCACATTCTCCAGTACTCTTCTAGACATTTTTTATTCTAGCATAACCTTTGCTTTACCTATCATGTCTATGATAGCAATTCCCAAATTCATTTCTCTAGTCAACCCCTAATCTGTAATGCCAGACCTAAGTAGTCAAATATTCTTATCCCCACTGGCTAATTCTAGTGCATGCCCCACAGGCACCCAAATCCAACATGTTCAAGCCCAAATTTCTCATCTCTCTCCTCCCCCCCAGGGTCTTGGTTGAGGTCTGTTCAGTTCTTTGCTTGGATTACAGCACCTTGTACACATGCTCCATCCACTGTCCTCAGGTCCTCTTGAAAACTGAGGAGGGCCTCCCTGGTGGCACAAGGGGTTAAGACGCAACCTATGAAGCTCACCGCAGCCACTACAGCACAAGTTCGATCCCTGGCCAGGGAGCTACCCACATGGCGCAGCAGACCTCTCCTGACTCACCCGCTGCTCCCCTTAGCAGTGTATTTCAGTCGATCTGCCTGTTCCATCCTCACTCTGTCTCTGGTGAATCCTCTCACCCCCCCAAAAAAAACTCTAGCCTGTACCCCGGCTCTTATATGCATAAATAAATAAATCTTTAAAAAACAAAAACAAAAACTGAGCTCTCCTTCCTTGACTTTTTCAGGGGAGACTTTTGCACATTTTGTAACTGTGGATTTGTCTGCTTCCCTCTTCAGACTGTGAGTTTCTTTAGCACTGATTTTCTCTTATCCTTCATTGTATCCCCTGGCCTGGCACATAATAGACACTCAGTAAATATTTGGGTAATTAATGACCTTGTAATGAATTGAAACTTTTCAGAACACTATTTATAGGTTAAAATAACTAGGCATCATGTGACCTTTTAGTCCTCTCTAAATCTGAAATGTTATCATTAGTAAGTTCATTTGTGTGCATTAGTGGGGAAGGAATATTAGAAAGTAAGTTTGCAGGTAGTTGAAGATTAAGACTAATGACAAAATGAGGGCTTCCCTGGTGGTGCAAGGGGTTAAGACGCAACCTATTAAGCTATCTGCAGCCACTGCAGCACGAGTTTGATCCCTAGCCCAGGAGATACCCACATGGTGCAGCAGACCCCTCCTGACTCACTCACTGCTCCCCTCAGCAGCGTATTTCAGTTAATCTGCCTGTTCTGTTCCCCATTCTGTCTCTGGTGAATCCTCTCACCCCCCACCCCCCATACCTCTGGTCTCTACCCCAGCTCTTGTATGCATAAATAAATAAATCTTTTTTAAAAAAAAGACTAATGACAAAATGAAAAGGTTTTCCAAATAGGTGAGCTGATACCAAAGATGATTTTATAGTTCATGTAATATTTAATTATTCCATAGTGACTGTCTTCTGCTTCCCCTAGACAGTGAGTCCAGGAGTAAGCAGAATCCACTTGACTAGGAGGGAAGCAAAGCCGAAGTCATCATGGCTTCAGTGTCTACTCACGGAAACCAAGATAAAGGTCCCCACTTGCCACCACCAAGCAAGCAGGTATATTTTTAATTTGGAGCCCTGCCATCTATTCAAGTCTTTCCTTATCGCTCATCTTTGTCATCTTACTTTTTTCAGTCTGACACTTTGCTGGATGAGTTCAGGGAAAATGCAATGGGGAAGGATAATATTTTGGGCTGCCTTGAAAAGGAGCCTTCACAACTTTCATTTGCAAAATCCTTTCTTTATCCTTCCCTGTTTAGACTCCAACTTAACTAACTCATACATAGGTTGTCAGTGACTGAAGAGATGGAACATCTTAATTGAATTAAACAGAATGGTACAGAATGCTTATTTTTAGATTTGTGTTACCAAGGCTAATGTGCTAAGTATATGCTGCTAACCTGTGTTCTTGAACAGTATAGCAGCACCCTTAACTTTTAGCCAAGAGATTGAGAACCCAGTTATTAACATAGGTACTGCTTTTCTGCTGGCTAAGAGTCAATACTATGTGTTTCAGGGACAGCAATATGAAGAAAATATAAAATTATCAGCATAATACAATAAATAAAATATATCAAAATATAAAATATTGTGATGGGTAAATGGAGCTCACGTTCTCTGGGATCAACTTTTTAAGCTAAAAATAGTTTATGGAGGAGGAGATAGTTAAGAAGCAAAGTTTAAGAGAGACTAACAGAAATGATATCCAGTCACAAGTAGAAAAACTTGGACACCTGAGTTGCTTCTGTGAAATAGAGAGGTGAGCTCGCTTCAGCAGCACATATACTAAAATGGAGAGGCATAAAACATTTATGGCTCTAGGGAAAAGGATGAGCCGAACTCCTCTGAGAGACTTTGCAGGAGCTTCAACCTGATGATAGCCAGGGTGATAGCCTGGGTCCCTGACCTGGACTATTTTTCCTGGAAAAGAAGGGTGGAAGATGTTCCTTATTTCTGTAGAAACCACAACCAGGAGCAAGAAGAGATATTTACACTGAGTGTGAGGTGGAGAGCTTGCTGAGAAACTAAGGTAAATAGAGAGTGAGAACAACTCCTCTAGCTGTGACTCACCCTGCCCACTTGCTCCTTGTGCTGTAGTGGTTGTAGAGAAAGGAGAGGGGGATTGCCTACAGGGTTGCATGGAGAGCTGTGACAACGTAGTCACCAAAGAGTTCTTCCTCATTTTCATGATGCATGTGAAGTGCTTGGCCCAGAGCCTGGCTCATGGGAAAGTTCTCAAGAAATGGCAAACTTCACGCACATTGACATCTACTACAAACAAGAGTCTAACAAACTACAAACAAACAAAAAAAAGAACAATGGTAAAATCAACAGGTGAACTTCAATAGCCAAAGAACAGCACTTGTTCAAGAAAAACGCTAAAAGTTGGGGACACACATAAAAGCATGGTAGAGGACATAGATAAAAGTCACAAATAGGAAATACAAGTGTGATTTTGTAGTAAGGAACAAATTAAATAGAATGTATTTCTTAAAACAAATGAGCCATTCACAGTATGAGAAAGACTATTTGCAAATCATATATCTGATAAGGGTCTAATATTTAGAATACATATAAAGGCCTTGCAACAACAACAAAAACTCAATTAAAAAAGCAGGTAAAGGACTTGAGTAGGTATTTCTCCAAAGAAAGATTTGTAACTGCCCTATAAACAAATGAAAAGATGCTTGATGTGTTAAGCCATTAGAGAAATGTAAATCAAAACCACAGTAAAATACCATTTCACACCCACTAACATGGCATAATTAAAAACAAAGACAAAACAGAAAATAATGAGTGTTGACAAGCATGTGGAAAAATTGGAACCTTCATACATTGTCAGTGGAACTGTAAAATTGAGCAGTCACTGTGGAAAACAGTTGGGCGGTTCCTTAATAAGTTAAACATAGAATTACCATATGGCCCACCAGAATTGAAAACAGGTGCTCAGACAAAAGCTCGTAGCAGCTCTACTCACAATAGCAAAAAGGTAGAAACAATCCAAGTACTCATTGTGCTCACCAGTGGGTGAATGGATAAACAAAAGAGATGTGTCCAAACAGTGGAATATTATTGAGCCATAAAAAGGAATTCCAATTCATGCTGCAACATGGAGAGCCTTGAAAACATTATGTAAAGGAAAAGAAGCCAGACACAAAACATCCCATATTATATGATGCCACTTATACAAAATACCCAGAATAAGCAAATCCATCCAGACAGAAGCAGTTTACTGGTTGCTGAGAGGCTAGGGGAAGGAAGGGGTGCAGATAGACTCCTTAATGGGTATAGAGTTTCCTTTTGGGGTGATGAAAAAGTTCTGGAACTAGATAGTGATAATCACTACCCTGTGAATTGTGAATATACTTAATGCCATGGGTTGTATACTTTAAAATAGTTAAAATGGTAAATATTACACCATATGTGCTTTTCCACAATAAAAAAATAATGAGCATATATATAACAAAAGATTATAACCCAGTGCAGTTGAGATATTGTCTCCACACCAAAGGAGAAGGGCAGTCTGGCTACAGAATATGTAGAGATGCTCGCATTAATTATCAAAGAAATGTAAATAAGGCAACAAAATATTGCTTTAATACCTATTAGACTATCAACATTAAGAAAACAGTAATGCCAATTGTTATAAAAATCTTTCTTTAAAGTGAAAATCAAAATCAACAAAAAACTATGAACCAGAGATACTCTATGGGGGGTGGGGGATGGGGAGAGGAGGGATTGGGGTCAAAATAAGGGGGTTGCAATTGTATGGGGAATATAAAAATAAAATTTATTTAAAAAAAAATCTTTCTTTAGTCTAACCAGGCTTTGGAAGCTTTGAGCAACATTTAGACACGGCTGGAGAGAATGGAGACTGGTTCAGCCACCGGAACAGCTGTCCAGCAAGACTTTGTCAAATTGGGATGCTCATGCCCTATATTTTACTTCCCTATATATATCTATATCTATATGTATTTCCATATAAATATATATATTTCCATACACACACACACACACACATATATGGAAAATGTTCTCATGGACCAGTAAGAGACAAGAGCTTGTGGGGACTTGGAGGCAGCCTGGAGAATTATGCAGCAGTTAGAAGTATTGGACTGGATGTCTACAGCAAAAGGGATGGATCTTAAAAGTATAGAGTTGAGTTGAAAATACTTTTGAAATTAAATTAAATGCACAAAACAATGGCATTTACATACAAAGAACTCAGGCACCCAAAACAATGAACTTTTAGCAAGAATGTTTATGAACAAAGCAGCTACACTAAACTCCCAGAGTGATGGTGATGGAAAATGTGGAAAGTGAGTAAACAATCGGGATAAGAAATGGGGCGTTTGCAATTGTATGGGGGAATATAAAAATAAAATTTAATATTTTAAAAAAAAAATAAATAAATAAAGTTAAGACAAACTTAGTTATTATTCCAAGGATATGTATTTACCATTGCAAATGTTAGCTATCACTGTAAGATTGTGTTTTGGAGAATTTCTACAATAAACAGCAATGTTTTAGTGAAAAAAAAAAAAAAAGAATGAGTGAATAATACATACATTCCTACAAAGAGGAAAGGCTCATAAAACACAGGAATTAGTCCAGGTTGTTGCATGTCAGCATATTAAAAAATAATGTAGAACTAGAAAAATAATATCAACTATGTCAATAATTGCAGAAGTTATCTCCAGACCTCTTGTAAATGTATAAAAAAATAGCTCTCCATTAATATAGTAAATTACATAGAAAAAGAGAGCAACTCATGATGAGTTCATAGTCTAAAAATGTGCACAGAAGTATATAAATAGATAAATTGGAATACAGATCTATAAATAGATGTAATACAGTGCTCTGAGTACAATCCCACAAGTATAACTCTTGTGCTGTGGGGAAATCTATCGATTCATCCAAAAGGCAACACTGAATTGGGTGTAAAGGAAGTGAGTTGCCACCATCACTTGGGCAAAGGAATTGAGTTCATTGCAGGGATGATGAACTACATGGTCACAGGCATTGGAGTCTCCGATTCTGCCCAGATAACTCCTCCATGCTCTTTGGTCAACAAGCCACTCTTTTCTCCTCCATCTGGGCTTCTTTCCTGGCCTAAGTCCATCCAGCAATCCCAGCTGGGAAGCTGTGGCTGGGACAGGTCATGGCTCTGTGCTGGGGTCTGTGCAGAATGCATGCAGTGCGACAGAGACCTCCCTGCCTGCTTCCAGAGAAAAGGGAGTGGATGCTTTTCTGATGATTTAGCCCCTCACCATGTAACTTCCCTTACAGAGCCTTCTGTTTTGTCCAAAATCAAAACTGCACATCCACAGAGGAGAGATTTCAAAGATTATCCGAGAATGCCAAGAAGAAAGTTTCTGGAAAAGAGGTAACACACCCCTCTTAACATTTGTTAGCACTGTATTTGCTGCAATACATTGCATATCAGATTAGAATTGTGGTGATGATTTATTTTAAGCAGAAATGTTACATAATTTCCTGAAGAACTTTGATATCTAGGTCTCTTTAGAGTTTAAATCCATGTTGAGCTCCTTTTGCAGGCAGGGACATTATGTGATTAAGGAGTAGTTTACCTCACTTAGCAAAACATAAGGCACACCTAATATTTTCCCTCTGTGTTCTTCTATGAGAATGTATACCAAGAGTGTTATTTAGAATTTCTTTTAAGAGTAGACAGATTCTTGAATTCCACTCAATTCTAACCTTGTATAAATCAGAAAAAAAATGTCATGGTCACTGATTCAGCTGAGAGCCAAGCACAGTGCTTCACACATAGAAAATATCTACTCAGTATTTTTGGAATGAATGAACAATGGCAGTGTTCCATTAATACTCTTCTTGCAGTGTCTCTGAAATAACCTGTCCTTTCTCTTTCTGGGCTTGCCTTATATAAGACAAGTGTGTGAATTCAGACTGTGCCTTAAGTTCTCTTCCAATCAAAAAAAAAAAAACATTTGTCATTTGAAAATGTCCTAATAAAATCTATAGATATAGTTCTAATATTTTGTAACAGTGTTGATGTAGGGATATTTTATTCTTTGAAGTACTCATTTTGATTCCTCAAGTCATTCAAATTCAGTATCAGCTGTTTTGGAAGTAGCACCCTTTAGAAGTTGATATCTGTTATGTATGACTATGATTAATATTACATATTAATGCATATTACATATGCATGACACATATAGTATATAAATGATTATTATATAAGCTATGATTACTGATTGTGCTTCCTGTCTTTTCTGACAACCTATGAGTAATTTAATCAAACCCTCGTAGATTACCATTTCAGTAAAAACTTCCATCAAGTAGATATGAATGATAAAAATCAGTTGCTATTTGATTAGTCTTGGTTGCTAGGAAGAACTAGATGTTCATTACTGCTCTCTGTTTCAGAAGAAATCATTTGATACCCTCTGACAGAGCCTGAACCTGCTTTTGCCAGACTAACTTGCCCCGCTTTAAAAATCATAGGTAGAGGCCTCCCTGGTAGGGGTTAAGTCTCAGCACTATTACAGCTGTAGCCTGACTTTGATCCCTGGCCAGAGAGCTGACCCACATGGCTCAGCAGACCCCTTTTGTCTCACCTGCTGCTCCCCTCAGCAGTGGATTTCAGTAGATCCACCTATTCTGCTCCCCACTCTGTCTCTGGTGAATCCTCTCAGGCCCCACACCTCTGGCCTACACCCCAGTTCTTCTATACATAAATAAATAAATCTTTAAAAAAGAAAAAAAATCATAGGTAAACATCACCCATGTTTAGCATGAACATGATAATCTAGTAATCTTTGAAAAATAGACATGTCAAAATTGTAGAATAAAATATTATGAAAGACAGAAGCTGGGAGCTATATTACATAACACATGTAGACGTTTAGTTGTACTCTTTTTAAACTTTGATAGAAGACTGAAATTTTTAATGCATGTTAGTACCACCACCGCCCCCGCCCCCCCCCCCCCCCCCCGTCCCGCAAGCATCTTGGGTTTTGACTTTCTGCCATTTCTGTTACCCAGGGTCAACTGTGGTCCAAAAATATTGCATATAATGAGAGATTTTGAAAGAGGAGAGATCACATTCATATAACTTTTTAAAAAGCATAATATATGTAGGATTTGGTACTGTTCACAGTTTGGGTCAACTACTGGGGGCCTTGGAATAGGCCCCCCCATGGATAAAGGGGGGACCATTGTGTATAGCTAAAGGCAACCCCAAACTCAACAGCTAACTCCTCACACAGTAAGAGGCCTGTGTTGTACGTGGGCATTCAGTAAAAGTGCATGTCAGGGAGGAAGTAGCACGAGTTTAGGTTTTGTCTGATTAATGCTGTTTGTCATCAGGTTGTCTGTCTGGCCCAGAAAATTCTCCATGTAGTACTTAATAAATATTTGTTGAATAAGTAAAATAAATATGAGTAAAAACTCATTGCCAATGTAGGTAAGAGAAAAGGCTTGGCCAAATGCTCCCTGACTTCTAGGTGAGGCACCACGTCTTAAAACGGCAATATTGAAGGGCAATTTTGCTTTACAGCTCTACCTTTTTCTCTTGTGAGCATGCTGGTCACCCAGGGACTAGTCTACCAAGGTAAGAGTCTTTTTTTGCTAAGTAATTTAACTCAAGAGACTCCTGTTTTTATGATCCTCCTGGCAGCGTTTTTGGTGCTTTGCATTTATATTTTGGTGAAGGATTTATTTAGGCAAGCATTCAGCTCTCTCCAGCCTTACTCCCCCCTCTCCAACCAAGATGTCCTAATCCCTAGGATGACTGAATATAATATTACTTGACAAAGGGAAATTAAAGTTGAAGGTGGAATTAAGGTTTTTAATCAATCGACCCTAAAAAAAATGAGATTATTCCGGATTATCCAGATGTGCCTGATGTGATCAAAAATATCCTTAAAAATGAGAGTGGAGGGGCCTCCCTCATGGTGCAAGGGGTTAAGCGTCAGAACTGTGAAGCAATCCCCAGCTACTGCAGCATGAGTTCGATCCCTGGCCAGGGAGCTGATCCACATGGTGCTGCAGATCGCTCTTGTCTTCCCCGCTGCTCCCCTCAGCAGTGTATTTCAGTCAATCCGCCTGTTCTGTCCCCCACTCTGTCTCTGGTGAGCCCTCTTACCCCCTGCACCTCTGGCCTGTACCCCAGTTCTTGTATACATAAATAAATAAATCTTTTTTAAATTTTTAAAAAAATAAGCTACCTCATCTTTGGTAATTTTGTATAGCATCCCAGACTAAGACACTCAGGGAGACTCGTTTTAACCTTCTGAACTTCAGAACTATAAACTAATAAATTGTATTGTTTTAAACAATTAAGTTTGTGATTATTGGTTCTGGCAGTCACAGGAAACCAATACAATGCCTTTCTCTGTATCAGAGTCCTTGGGTCTCCCGGTACAGAGTCAGACTGTCCCTGGCACAGGGCACTCGAGGAAGGAGAGAAATGGGGCTGAAATCTACCCAAGATCATTCCCCCAAACCATTTGTCCTAGGAAGCGGCTTCATCTGCCTGAGGAAGGCACCCTGTCGAATTTGCATAGCAGATCATGAAGACGAGCACCCCCCACCTTACATCTCCCCACACAGAACTCTCCCTGCCTCTTAGAGTTTTCCAGTGTTGCTCCCCATCTGAACAGAGAACCCATGGGCATTGCTTTGTCCCCAGAAGCAAGAAGACACCTGATTCTCTTGAAGCCCATTTTACTGAACACTTTTGACCACCAGGATTTTAAAAAAATATTTGTACCCAGCAAACATGAGATGTTCTAGTTCTTTTGAGGGACCACATGTCCTATATTGAAGAGAATCCCACTTGAATCAATATTGTTCTTGTCCTTAATGTTGATTTATAAAATGTGATTTCATTTTTATAATAATGGAAGTGCACTCATTCAAGAAACCTTCGTCAAACCATTTTGGCACAGAAAAAAAAAAATGTGACCATGACATCTACAGGGATTATATTTATAAATAATAAAGTACTCTCATAACTGGGTTGTGTATTAGTGTCTATAGCTGCCATAACAAATTACCATGAGCACAGTGACTTCAAACAGTACAAACGTGTTAACTGACAATTCTGGAAATCTGAAGTCCAAGATAGTTCTCACGAGACTGAAGTCAAACTGTCAGCAGCCCTGCCTTCCTTTCTGGGGTCTTGGACTTCCTTTCTCTTTCTAGCTTCTGGGGACCACACACATTCCTTCACTCTAGGCCTCATCCTCTGTCTGCAAAGCCAACAGCATTGAGCCAAGTATTTCTCAGGCTGTGATCACTCAGGTTGTATCTTTCATTCATTTTTCCACACTGAAGAGCTATTGTGATGACACTGGGCCAGCCCAAAGAATCCAGGATCATGTCCCTATTTTAAAATTATCTGACTAGCATTTTTTCCTCTTAATTCCCCTTTGTTATGGAGCATAATGTGTTCACAGTTTCCAGGGATTATGAAGGGGACATCTTTACAAGGCTATTTATTCTGCCCTCCACAGATGATACTATTTCCATTTAAAAATTGTGACTAGATATTGTGAAACTCTCTGTATTGAGTTATTTGAAAAGGGATGAGATGATGACCAATTGCTTTGAACTCAGTAGCTAGCTCCACTTTTGCCTTAAATCCGTCTTGAATTGTCTTAATTTCTTTTTTAATACATTAATACTAATACTATTTGCAAAAAAATAGCTATTTGACAGTTAAATTCAACCAAGAATTGAATTATAGTTGTTATAATTCAATATGATGTTGAAGACCATCTCTTTAAATTAAGAATGTGTATATCTTAAACATTAGAGATTTCTTTATACTTTATAAATCTAAGTATGAAATGAAACAGTGACATATTTATCTATTACTCCTTAGGTTATTTAGCAGCTAATCCAAGATTTGGATCATTGCCTAAAGTTGCAAGTAAGTCATGGAAGTAAAATGAAATTCATTCTTTCAAAAGATATTTATAGCAATTGTAGATAATAATGTCCAGATTAACCAGATTGTTTTGATGCTTTAAAAAAGTCAGTCTCCATTCTTTGCCACTTTGCAGTTCTTAGTTCATTCAACATTTTCTGGCATAAAGTTGCCCACTTGGGACTTCAAGGTCTTCCTAGATGCCTGACTGGGAGGGGTAGCAGGACACAGACGAGGCTACAGCAAAGCCTCCCTTCCTTCTAGGATGTTTTTTTTCTTTCAGTCAGGCTTTCTAAGTTATCTTTTGTCATGGATATAACAAATGAATGGTTTTCAAAAATGAGGAGCTTTCTAGTAATAAATTCACCACAAATGTAGGGTCTCATCTTTCACTCCTTTTACACATACCATTTATGCACAGTGAGGAGGGATTCCAGGTTCCAATCTGAATCCTCACTCCCAGAAGGTGGAGCAGATTGGAGACTTCTTCTACAGGAAATTTCTCCCTCTCTGACCACTCTCCCTCTCTGCAGGCAAGATGGATTGTCACTGCAGTACATAAAGAGAGCTCAGGGGCCTTCCCAGAGGTACACCCAGACCCCAGCCCAGCCTCCCCTCGTGGCTTCAAATACTTGTGTGCCAGCTGGGCCTCCCCGGCTGCCCACCCCTGGGGCAGCACCTGCACTTGTTCTATCCTGGCCCCTCTACCTTCAGCTCAAAATTGAGAATATCAAGACATTTCCTGCTCCCAGTCTTGCTCTGCAATATTCTCATGTTTTGTTCATTGTCTTATCATGATGCTTGTAATGTTAAATTTAAGTTAATGAAGTTCTGGAAGATAATTCATGGAGGAGATTCTGAATCTTTAAATTATCTATCTTTCCTAACCTGCTTTTACAGTTGCTGGCATCTTAGGATTTGGTCTTGGAAAGGCATCTTACATAGGAGTGTGCCAGAGTAAATTCCACTCCTTTGAAGATCAGCTCCGTGGAGCTGGTTTTGGTCCTGGACATAACAGGTGTGTAATCTATTTATTGAGGGATGGTAATGAAGATAACTATAAAAAATTAAATATCATTTGCCATTTATATTATTAAAGTTTTTTTAAGCTCCACTGGTTAAAAGATATTTCACCATCTAATTTTGAGTTGTTGATATTCAACTGCAATAATAATTTTATCGCTTCTTGGCCTTTTGGCTAAGATCAAGTGCAATAATAATTTAACTTAGTTATCTATTTCATTTGCTCACCAAATAGTTAGTGAGTGCCTACTATGTTTAAGGCATGGCTTAAGCCTCTAAAGAACATTTTATTATTTTTTAAATTTTTTTATAAAGATTTATTTATTTATGCATACAAGAGCTGGGGTAGAGACCAGAGGTGTGGGGGGTGAGAGCATTCACTAGAGACAGAGTGGGGAACAGAACAGGCAGATTGACTGAAGTACAGTGCTGAGGGAAGCAGCGGGCGATTCAGAAGAGGTTGGCCGCACCACATGGGTCACCTCCCTGCCTGGGCGGGGAATCAAACTCATGCTGCAGTGGCTGTGGATAGCTTCATGGTGCTGCGTCTTAGCTCCTTGCACCACCAGGGAGGACCCTAAAGAACACTTTAATGAACAGACATGGCTGTTCTACCATCATGGGATGACACTAAATTTACACAGGGTTCTTTAAGCCAGTTTCCGTAGTGTAGTGGTTATCACGTTCTCCTGACACAGGGTTCTTTACTGCAGGACTTAAACCAGAGCCTTTACTGTTTAATATATATGATTATGATTATATTATATATGAGTAATATAGATGATCATGATTCTCCTTGGGGAATCTAAGAAGTGGAGATTGACAACATTACTTCTGGCCAGAGAATATGTAGGTTAAAAACCAGCTCTGGCCACTTGCTAAGCTGGGTGAAGTGAGACAGGTTCCTTACTAATCTTCAATTTTCTCACCTATAAAAAAATGGTGATTGTTTTCATGGGATGTTGGAAGGAATAGAAATGATAATTCATTGCACTCAGTAAATAGCTGTTTCTGTGATAGTATTATAGGACTAGTATTGGGGACATGTTTTCCGAAGACCCTCCCTTGTCATAGTGGATTATATTTGGGAGACAGCATGCAGTGAAAATGACATTGAACATGACATCATTATTGTCCTTTTCTGGATGAAATTCAAATCTAGAAACAGCTCCTGTTATTCCTGAGAAATGTATACTTGCAAACTTTAGCACAGAAAGTGTCTCTAATTTTTGTTAAGACTAGAGCTTCCAACGTCAAAGTGCAAACTACTATTTTTGCTTCTATTCTAGGCACTGCCTACTTACCTGTGAGGAGTGCAAAACTCAGCGTGGATTAAGTGAGAAGGGAGATTCACAACCTTCAACGTCCTAAACTCTGTACCTATGGATTTGGAAGTTTCTTTAGCCTTTGAATTTGTACACATTTAAAACTTCAAGTATCCTTTAAAGTAATGTGTTTACAGTGGAACAAAAACATTGTGATTCTCTCTCTATTGAAATGCTTTCTGTGGAAGATTCTCAATTGAATGAGCATTACAGTAGGCTGAAATGCTCAAAACCCCATCTGTGGTTTTGCTTTCCACGTTTCACTTACCTGTGGTCAACCACAGTCCAAAAATATAATATTATGTACAATAAGATATTTTGAGGAATGACTGACCACATTCACATAACTTTCGTTATAGCATATTATTCACTTATTATTAGTTAAAAATGTTAATCTCTTACTGTGCCTAATGTATAAATTAAACATTATTGTAGGCAGGTATATAAGGGAAAAAACAGTACATAGGAGGTTCAGTATGTATGCAATTTCAGGCATCCTCTGGGGTCTTTGAACATGTCACCTACAGATAATAAGGAGACTTCTGTCATGCTTTTCTGCTATTTATGAACATGTTGGGAGTATTCACAAAAGTAATTATGTTGCACCCCACTAACTTACAACCAGTAAAAGAATTTGGGAGACTTCTCTCACGCACACCTGTCCATTCTTCCATTCTGATTTAAGTCAGTGTTTGAAGTTCTCTGATGGAGGACAGGAGTCAGTGTTTGTGAACTTGGGAAGCCATCTCCCCAAAGAAAACCAGTGTGTATGGAGATAAAATGCAGTTGCAAGAAAGACTGTCTCTTGTAGGAATAGGAAGTGCTTTCTAAAATGTAGGGGCCAAGGGCCTTCCCTGGTGGCGCAGCAGTTGAGCTCTGGGCTGCGAGGCTGCCCGCGGCCTCTGCAGCGTCGGTTCATTCGCCGGCGAGGGTCCCACAAAAAATAAATAAATAAAAAATAAAATGTAGGGGCCAAGATCTTTAACTTTATGAAAAATATATCATTTGACTCACAAGCTGAGGCAGCTGCCCTCTGCTCATCTAGCTGACTTTATGCTTCATTAGCGTTGCATTTCCTTATCTTCTTAGGTTACCTGCCTGGGTAATATGCACCTGCTCATGGTCAGTACTCAAGAACTTTGTTCTTTTATAGACTGTGAGTGGCCTGAAAGAATAACTACATCTTCCCAAACTGTCCCTCTTTCTCTGAAGAAAAAGTTTATTTACAGGAGGAATCACTGAAAGAATTAATTCACAGAATGACAAACTCTTGGGATTTTATAGAGCTCAGAGGTAGTCAATGCAACATAAGAGTTGAATGCCTATTCTCCTGTGTTTTTTTGCATAGAAAAAAAATTTCCATTGGGGACTTCTTGTGCTACGGTAGATTATCTGAGACCTTTGTAAAAACTTCTCTTGCATCTTTGCATCATCTCAAGAAAATGCTTTATATAAAGCATTTGATATATAACGCATTTTCCTCAGAAGATACATGTAAGAATACACATATACATATACACATACATACACATATATCTATAGAGAGAGAGAGACAAGAGTTTGTGTGTGTACACATTTGTGTTTTACTCAATACCTTTTGAAACCTATATCATGGAATGAAAAGAGAGATCTCCTCTAAACTTAATGTTTGATATGAAATATTTTATTTTAAATGTGAAAAATATTTGGAGGTTTTCATTTTTACAGGAACATTAAGTGTATAAAACGACATGATTTTGACTCCTTTTTTATATTACATATCCTGGTTTTTCAGTGGCTAAAGCTCTATTTCTGTAAATGAGAACACAGAGCCAATATCCTTGCTTCTTGGATGAAGTTTAACTCTTGGCTCTGACAACCAGCAATTGATGATTCTTTGTTATCTCAGTTATTGGCAAAAATTCAGTATTGGGCACATTTATTTCCTGCATCCCAGAAAAAGATTTGCCAGGAGTCAGGACATTTTCACATTGCTAAGTAGAGCAAGTCAAAGTTAAAAATCAGTCTCAGGGCACCAGGAAAAAGATGAATCTATTATTATTGAAAAGAAACGTTGCTTCTAAATGCTGACATCATCATAGTTCTGAATCAAAGTGGGTTTATTGGTTGGGCTCTTTGCTTTTTCTAAGTAGGTAAGTTATCCGTTGATGTTCTTCAAATGATCTTAGTGTGAACAGAAATAAGTAAGGAAAAACTAGAAGACCATCCAGGAAATCTTGGCTATTTTGCTTCATTACCTATAGAATATGTTATGAGGCAAGTATTTGGAGGGAAATATCTTTTTCTTGTGGAAGAATGTGTTGAAGGAGCAGCCTTTGTCTTTTAGCATTTAGCATTACCAATATTCACTGCCAACGTGGTTTAAGTTTATGAAAATGAATGAGATACTGTATATAATGCTTACTTATTTTTTAAATTCTCATTTAAGCAAAAAATATTTTCTGTCTGTTGCTGTCAAAATAGGTGATTTATCTATTTTATGTTAATACTATGAAAGTAATAAAATTTACCTTGAATGATTAAGGAATGACAATGTCATGTAGGTACTTTTCTTGGTATTCAAATAATGCAACCTGATAATTGACAGAAAACTTTTTCCACTTGGGAACTCTGCCCCCAGATATCAACCACAGAATGTAATTTTGTCGACATTTAGAGTTGGCAGTGATTTCAGTGATTAACCAACCGAGAGGCTGAAAGTCCAGAACAGACAGTGGAACTGAGTGAAGTTGGCATATAAAATACATGCGGATTCTTCATTTCTTTACACACAAATATGTGGGCTCACTTTTGCCAGATCTTCAGTTTTTTTCCAAAATAAAATGCAGGGGCTTCTGTGCAATATCCTGGCTTTAACTGTTTATTCTTTCATATATTCAATAATCAGCACCCAGTCTTTGCCAGACACTGTTCTGTGCCCTGGGAATGTGTTTTGCAATCATCCCAGGCTGGGCAGGTTCACCCCCGGGTCAGGCAGCTCACAAGAGAACCTTGGAGCCCTCAGCATCATTCCCATAGGTTTTTTAATAGTAAGCAGGGGAAATAAGCCAGCAGGGAGACAGCAGCTTGGGCCCCCTGTGAATCTCTATGCGCTCTTTCCTATGGGTTTTCTCTGGCATTCTCTTCCTCTTGCTGACAGCCCTCGTCTGCTTGGAGCAGTTCTGCAATGCCCTGTCCTCTCTGATGCCACCCTTATAGCCTCAGCCCCCAGGCTCAGGCGTGCACACTTACACACGTACATGCCACACACATGCCACACTCCAGGTGTCCATCATCAGGCACGTGTGCCCCGAGCCCACACTCCCAAGTGCCTCCTGCATTAGTACAATTAAGGCTGCAGGTGATAGCCATAGAGGCCAGTGGCGTGAAAGCCTGACCATCTTCATTTACCCCACGGAATGTTAATAGTGAACACAACCAGCAAAATATTGCATCTTCCTGGTACTTATATTCTTACCACCATTGTATAACTTGCCATCCAACCAAGCTCAAGCTCCCAGCTAATGCAGGGATGACCTCTGTTGCAGGCAGGTAAGATTTCAGGGCCTATGTATATATTCCCGGGGACGGACCTCCATGGTGCAGACCAGTGCACTGCCCAGCTGCTAAATTATTCAGAAAGTTCTTATGGGAAGGAGCCCAGCTTGCTTCCCTTCCCCTCCAGACTGGAATGATTCACAAGAAGTGAATCGTTTCCTACTTATCTCTGGATCTCTGGCTCCAAGCAAAATCTCTTGGCCAAGCAGCAGACCTCTCCTGTCTCGCCTGCTGCTCCCCTCAGCACTGTGTTTCAGTAGATCTGCCTGTTCTGCTCCCTACTCTGTCTCTGGTGAACTCTTCTCCCCACCCCCCACACCTCTGGCCTACACCCCAGTTCTTGTATGCATAAATAAATGAAAATTAGTCTTTTTTAAAAAAAAGTTCTTGGCCAGATATAGACATCTCAAACATGTCAGCCTAACTTGCAATTTCCCTGTGGCTACAAAATGGAATTCTTTCACAGGGTAGCTTTTAAACAGTAGAAGGCATATGCCTCTCAGAGTTTTAAACCATGGGAATGGGGTCCAATCCTGTCACCTCCTGGTCTTGGGGACACCCTTTGGCGTGTGGTGTCCGCGCGCACCAAGATTGTTAACAACACTATCTTGTATATTTGAAAGATACTAAGAGAGTAGATCTTAAAAATTCTCACCACACAAATGACAACTCTGTGAGGTGGTGGATGTGTTAACCAACCTTATCGTGGTAATCATTTTTCATATGTCTACGAAGTCATCATGTTGTACATGTTAAGCCTACACAGTGTTAAAAGTCAATGATATCTCAATAAAGGTAAGGGGAAAAACACACAAAAAGAGCATGCCCGATAGCAGGCGAGGAGGTGAGAGCCTGCAGATCCACCAGCTCCACAACTGCCTGAAGTCTAATCCCTAGAGTCAACCCCTTACTCTGTATCATGGAGAACAGTTCTGCTTTTCTATCAAACCAATACAGAAACTGGAGAGCTGCCACACTAGAAAACTGAAATGCGGCATTAGCTTTGGGATGAAGTGAAAGGTGAAAGCTGGGCAGAGCCTCGAGTTGGTTATTAGTAAAAACTCAAAAAGGCCTGGATGAGGGCATTAATAGAAGCCTAAAGGGCTTCCAAGCAGGCTGTCAAGGAGAGAAAAACATTGCTTCACAAAAGAGAAAGCCTAATTGGAACCGGGATTACGTACAGTTGAGCTGAATTGTTACTTGAGGTAATGTGGGAAATGTAGCCAGTGAACCTGAAGATCCAGCGAAGATTTCTAGGTTGAGGGAGTCACCTGGCTTTTTCTAGCTATCTGAAATGAAATGACATAAAGAATAATTTATTCCATTTCCAAAATTTGGAGAAAATATAAGGCTCAGAAGACTTGTAAGCCAACAAAGGAGTTTGCTACGTGAAAATGGCTTCCAGCAAAGACCAATTCCAGAGTAAGCCAACCCCTTTTTTGTTAAAGGCCTCAGGAAGATAACAGTGCCTTATAGGACATTTCAGACACATAAATGGCCGTCAACATGTACGCATAACCTTCTCCAGGGCATCTGTGAATCTTAGGGAATAGCACGGAGCTCCCAAATTAGAAAATTAGCTGTTTATAATGGACTTGTAGGTGACTTGCGTAATGAAATAGATGCGACCTACTGCAGCATGAGTTCAATCCCCGGCCAGGGAGGTGATCCATATGGTGGAGCAGACCGCTCCTGTCTCGCCCGCTGCTCCCCTCAGCAGTGTATTTCAGTCAGTCTGCCTGTTCTGTTCCCCACTCTGTCTCTGGTGAATTCTCTCACCCCCCGCGCCTCTAGCCTATACCCCAGCTCTTGTATGCATAAATGTTAAAACACACACACACACACAGAAATAGATGCCAAATGGATATGAAAGAATCCCCCATGGTTTTTGAAAAAAACATTTGGAAGAAATAGCACCCAAAAAGAGGTTTAAGGATTACTAACTTCGTGGGCAGGAAGCAAGCGGAGACTGCTCAGCTGTAAACATGAGCTATCTATGGAAAAGGAAGATTCAGTAGGCAGAACCAGCTGTAGGGAGGACTCACATAAGCTCCTCGGACTCACATAAGCCTTAGAGAACTAGTAACAAAGCTGGCTGGATCAGAATTACTAGACCAGTGACTGGTGTATGACTCTCACTCCCCTCTTGGAATGGGAATGTCTCAAGAAGTGTTATTATATGCCTGGTAGGTACTTGGAATGAAGAGGTCAGATAAGTTACCTTAAGTTCCCAGGTCTACAGATTGACGGGATTGGTGCTAAAGGACCTTCCTAAATAGGTGCTCAAGCACCTAATCCACACCTGGACCTCATTAGATGACATGTTAAAATGGGCTACTGATTGGAGGTCCTAGAAAAAGTATGAGTTTATTATGCACCTAGAAGGGATAGGAATTACTATGGACAAATGATCGGGAAAAAAGCTAACTGTAATATTTACACCAGGGTTCTTTCAAGGTGACGAGGTGTTTACATTCTTACCCACTGATAAAGACTTTGTGAAGAAATGACACTACCTAACTTCTGAGGCTAAGTCATAAATAAAAGGCGATGTAGCTTTTGACATGCTTCCTGGCCATGTGTTCTGACTGCCTGGAGCACACCAAGCTGTGAGAAGCCATGCCAAGATTCTGGCACGAAATGAAGAGATGCCCATTGCCAGGCCCCAGTTGCTCTGGTTTCCTGTTTCAGCCCCCCCTAGCAGCTGACTGCAAACGCGAGACCCAGAGCCAAATCACTTAGCTGAATCCTAATTCCTGACCCCCAGGATAACTGACATAATAAACGCCTTTGGGATGATTTGCAACTCAAAACACTGTTTCTAATAGAAGTAATTATGAATACCTAGGATTTACATGCAACTGCAATTTAATTTTCCATTTACCTAAAACAGAAACAAACATCGGGTCAATAATAAAGAAATCAGGGTCTCCCTGGTGGAGCAGGGGTTAAGACCCAAACTATCAAGGTATCCGCAGCCACTGCAGCACGAGTTCAATCCCCGGCCAGGGAGTACCCACATGGCGCAGCAGACCTCTCCTGTCTTGCCCGCTGCTCCCCTCAGCAGTGTATTTCAATCCTTCTGCCTGTTCTGCTCCCTGCTGTTTCTGGTGGATTCTCTCACCCTAACGTGCCTCTGGCCTGTACCCCAGCTCTTGTATGCATAATCTTTTTTAAAAAAATAATTAGGGGCCTCCCTGGTAGCACAGGGGTTAAAGACACAGCGCACTGATCCCCAGCCTGCCAGGCAGCAACCCACGTGGCACGGCAGACCTCTCCTGTCTTACCTGCTGTTCCTCTCAGCAGGGTATTTCAGCATATCTGCCAGTTCTGCTCTCCACTCTCTGGTAAACCCTCTCACCAGCTCCCCACCACACCTCTAGCCTACACCCTAGTTCTTATATACATAAATAAATAAAGACTGTAATCAATAAAACCATGAGACCAATGAAGATACATGTTCCTTTATTGTTTTATTTACCATAAACATTAAGGGTATACAGCAAACACTGGAGAAAAACTTTAAGTTTTTGATGTAAAGCTTAACACTTAGAAGTATACTTGCTCCCCCCACCCATCCCAATTCAACATGCAGATATTTATTTTCATATATGCTGATTCTGGAGCACTAGAATCTCTTGATAGTTAAGAGTATCTTTGCTCTGCAACTTAAAACAATTTCACGAGCTGTATATTATCATGGTATTATACCATCATTCATATAGTTTCCCAAGGTGAATACATTCACACAATAGTAACATTAAAATCTGGTTTTTAAAAACATCATAATAAGCCATAATAATGACAAACACAAAAACCCAGGTTCTAGTTTTAAACGTGTTTATGAAGACTGCTGCTGCGCTCAAAGCATGCAATATTCATGACCACCTAGATGAGGCTGGATATTGACACTCCTTCAGAAGGTCCAATGATGCACTTTTTCACTCATCCCAAGTATCTCCATATTTGTTTACTTTGACTAGGAAAAAAGCACAAATAATTGATGATTCCAAATTATTTAATATTTAAAAGGCACTATTTTAAGTTTGCTAGTATTATGATGAAAAGTTGTGTTTCTCTTTCATTTGAATAAAAGCACATGAGAGTCAAATTATAACAGGGACTGGTTAGACTTCTGTGAACTGAAGGCTGGACTTAAGTACTACTGTGCTATATCAAGAACATCATATAAATATTTCATTCTCGTAACATAAAGTAAACATAGTCCCCATTTTAAGGGTGAGAAAACAGATTAGTAAGTTGCCCAAGGTGCAAGTCTCTTAAAAACAATTAGAATTGGAATCTGAACACAGATGTTTAGCTTCAAAGCCTGGGTGCCTTCACAATTTTACCAGGCTACCTGGGTAAGTGTGGGATATATTACAACCCATACAAAAAAAAAAAAATTACCAGGAAATAAAAGTAATAAAACATTTGCATTTTTTCACAAAGAATATAGTAATAGAAATGGTCTTCTTCAGGATGTGGTTAATTCACACTCTCTCACAAACTATACTGCTAGTACAAGAAGGAAAAGACTTCCAGTAGTTCTACATTTTACATAAAACTGCATTTCAAAACATGCTCCTGTCGTTCTTTACCTTTTGGCCCCTCTCCTACATAGCCTTCATCTCTGAATGACAACTCTTCAGAAGCCCCAAATAGTCATAATATAAAGAAGCAATTCTCCAAATATGGACTAGGGACCCCGGGCCCAGAGCTCTTTCAGGGAGCCTCGGGTCAAAACTATTTCATTACTCTACTGAGATGTATCTTTTCCTCTCACATTCTTTCCCTCATGAATGTATAAATAACATGTTTTCTAGAAGCTACATGATGTGTGGTAATGTTCTTATAGCTAACTGAAAACATTATTGTTTTCAGAAATTCTTAGTCATAATTTCTAATCAGGAAAGTATCAAGAAATAGAATCCATACAACCTAAAAGTGAAAATTTAAGAGACACTTTCAGATCCAGTGAATCTATACTATACTAATCCATCAAGTTTTCTTGTCTAGATTCTAAGAATGAATATTTAGAAATTCACTGAAACTATTTCAAAATTTTATGTAAAGCATAAAAAAATCAGCTTCCTTTTACAAAGAAAAGCTTTTTATCATTGCACATTACTGTGTCATGTAACAACTTCAAGACTGTTCAATCAAAACCACAAATGTCAAAACTCAGCATACAACCAAAGGTCTACCATATTTTCTTAGTTATAAGTTAACAAACATTCCTTCTTTGATCTATAACTATGTATTACTGCTTATAAAAGATCACAAATAAGAAAAAAATACTACTGCCTGCCCTCATGGAGCTTACAGTCTAAAATCTCAAGTTAATTAGCAAAGCAAAGTACCATTAAGCTTGAATACATTACAGAGTAATGGTTACTAAATGTATGAAGATCTAAGCTAAAATTTTTTTGAGGACAAACAGTAACAAGTATTGGTGGTTACAAACTTATTTTACAATGAACTTCTTTACACCAATAACATGAAAGAAGATATTATCCATTATTATGAGAACAGAATTCTAAATGAAGCAGCCATTAGCTAGAAATAAAATTGAATCTGTAAGAATGATAATAAAAAAATCATCTATGTATACTTTTTAAAGTAGTAAATGTGAAACCTTGAAACAATGCCACATTCTCTAAAATTCCTGAAGAGAGACACCATAAAATTCTGTACTGAAATGGTAACAAATCCCTATTCTAAATGCCTTCTTTCTTTAGAGGTAAACTTTGGGTCAGAAATTTTCTTTGGGTAATGTATAGCTGTCCCAAAAGGATGTTAAAGAAACCATGATGTAAAAATTTAAAATTAATTATAAAGTACTTTTAAAAACAAAGTCAAACTCCTCTTGAGAAATGCTAGGTGGTCTACAGAGCAAATAACTATCAACTTCAAAAACATATAAGAAAGTCAACCTCACTACTCAATCATGATTCTATGGTCCTGTCAAAAGTAGTATATCAACGATAGGCCGTAAGATCTGGTTTATGCAGTAGATGCATAATTAAAAAAATAAATTCCCAAGGTGATTTCTCATAAGGAACAATCATATTTCTACATTGTATCAAAAAATCAGTCTCACTGTATTAAGCCATGCTATTATTTGAACTTCATTATTTTCTAACACAAAATGGTCTTTGGAACACCTTAAAAAAGAAAGAACAGTAAAATAGCTATTCTATTTGAAAATTTTTATTCTGGTTACTTGTTTGAGGAATTAAATCACATACTATCATAATTAGTATTTTTAACTAATGCTGTAGTTTCCAATACTAAAGAGTAAAGTCATTCAGACTAAACTATCATACCTTCTTTTTTGGGCATTCTTTCCTGCATAGGCCTGACTGAGGGGTCAGTCTTATGTGTTAAAGTTACTTCATATGACTCTCTGTTCTTATTCCTTAATTCCTCATATGTAATATTTTTTCTTTTGGGACTTTCTTCAGGGTTGGGATCAGGTCCTAAAACAACAAACAGTTAATAAATGATGATAAAAGGATTTGAGTAAATCCAAAGCAACTAAATTTTATAAATGCTCCTTACCTAAAATAAAGTGCAATAAAGGATCAAATTATTACCATTCCTAAGATATATTTTCCCCCAAGGTAGTTTATAAGCTAAAATCTATTACCTCTTATACTTTAAGGTTTTATTTCTAAAATTTAAAATCAACATAAAAAAATTTAACCATTACCAGAATAATAATGGAAATCATAATATATACCAGCATAATTTAAACTAGTTGAAATGGTGTTTTAAACTGCAAAGTTATTTATACTGTTTGTATAAATAAAAAGAAATAAATTGTATTAGTAACAAGTGAACAAAACTTGAACAGTGCAGATTTTTAAAATATTTTCATAAATGTTCCTATAATCAGTTTACAAACTCTTAATTTTTAAGAACATTTACTTTACCATCTTTTTATTTAAACAAAAATACTCAAAACAGCTATTGAAAATATTTTAAAAAGCCTTAATCATATTATGTATCATTTTCACTCAGGTTTAATGATAAGAAAATAGCAACTATAATTTTGGCCAGGGAACCAGCACTCATTTTTCATCTCTGTCAAAGTGTGAGCATATGTTAACAGAATCAAATACTATTATAAAAATAGGGGAAGTGGTTACTATTAATATTGGTTCAGAGGACCAAATATAGCACACAGTTTGTAAAATGCATAAGCCAGCACAACAGGACATAGACATTTTAAAAGAAATTAATAAATGGTAATATAACATTAAGCAATTAACTTATAAAGTCTTAACACTCCAAAAGTAAAACTTTTCAAACAGATTCAGTTAGACATACAAATAACCAATCATTTTAATAATACAATCATCATAAAGTAATTTAAATAACACAATATTTGTAAGTGGTGCTATTCCGGAACTCAAAAGTAAGGTCCCAATAAATAATCAGAATTTTAAAAACAATGTAATTATATCATTAAATGTTTCAATGTAATCTTTGCCACAAGTTTACTGCACTGGTAACAAAGCAAAAAGGACTTAAATTTCTCCTAATTACTGCTAGTATTACTCAATCTTCTTGCTTTAAAAAAAGAATGCAGAAGAGATAATCTTCTATTGGAATCAAAAGCACTTTGCATTTCATTAGTACTCAGTAGTCTATCATTAATAGTCAATAATCATTGAATCCATTTTCCTTCACCATATTTTTAAAATTCTGAAAGAGATAATGTGTACTAGATCAGCAGTCAGGTACCCGAGGTTGTCCTTCCCAGTCTGCTGACAATAAATGAATTGTCCTTGGGCAAATCACTAAGTTCCTTTAAATCCTGGTTTCCTCAACTGTGAAATTCTAACGTTTGACTAGATGATCGATCTCTAAAATTCCTTCCAGGTCTACTACTTTTTCTGACGTGAAAGAAAAATATTTCATTGCTCTGAAATTGTGTGACAAATATGAACACATAAATCAGAAGGAAGATGAGGAAGAATTTTTTCCACTTATAAAAGCCAAATGAAATCTGCATTGTGTAGGGAGCATGATTTACTACTCTGGGAAGGTTATAAAGAGCTGGAAGGAATAAGAAAATATAAAACAGCACTGATTTAAACCTAAATGTATATAATAAAGTAGATAGATCTTGGAACAACTATGAAGGAGTGCTTTCTACACTGAAAGATTAATGAGTCCTTCAATTCATGGTAAGAGAAAGCAGAACTAAAAAGGGCAAACAGGACTTAAACAAAGGGAGAGGGGGTGTCCTGGTTAAGGAAGAACAGTAGCTGAAGCAAAGCAAAGGTGGCCACTGCTGGCCCATGTGGAGAACAAAGAGTGGCAACCCTGACTTAGAAAAGGGGTCAGAAAGCAAAGTGATGGCTGGCTGGCTGCCGTGGAGGACATACAATATATTAAAATATGTGTCTCGCTGTACTCTGAGAATAGACACCAAAGAGTTTTGGTTTTTTTGTGTGTGTGTCTGTCTGCTTTTATTTGGAGAAAAAATTACCTAACATGGAATGGAATTTTCTAATGCAAATGGAAGGAAGGATGCAGGTCATTACAAGGGAAGAGTTGGTGCACACTAGAATACAAGTAGAATGGATTTGAACTTGAGTGACTGGGAAAATATGAGCTGCAATGAAGGACAAGGACAGCTGCTGTTAGAGATAAGATAATGACTAACCACTTTCTCCTAATCTGTACTCCTCCCTTCCCTTTCTGACTAATTGGATGTCTTTGTTTCCAACCTCTCAGGAAAGAAAAAGAGGTTGCAGATTGATTATGAGACGCCACAACTTTCATCCACTTAAGAATCTCTTTAATTATCCTAACTTCCATTTTCTCCTGTCTCTTCTCTTCCACAAAATACTCACCTCCCTCTTCTTTCCCCTTCAACTTTTGCTCTAAAGCAGCAGTGCTCAATTTAATTTTTGGTAACAATGAGGATGTTCCATATCTGCACAGTTCAACAAGGTAGTCACTAACGTATGTAGCTTCTAGGCAATTGACAAAACAACAAAATTTTCAATTTATTTTTAATTAAATAGCCATATACAGTCAGTGACTACTTATACCCTGACCTACCTATAAGCCTTCTGCATCCTCTGGAATTATAAATGGATTCAAATCTATCCCATCTTAAACAAATGTTTCTTTAACCTTGTTCACTCCTTACAGCTACTGGTTTATTATATTTGCTTCAAATAAGTGTTTCCACAGAACACTATAAAGACATCCTCAATACCATATCTAAACTCTTGCAGTGAAATGTCAAAATTCAGTTTGTCAGATGTTAGAAAAACAGTATAGTACCTAACCTTTACATTACTTAGTACCAATCCATTCAGAAGGTTGAAGCAGCTATGGGTAAGCAAAGCATTTCTACCAACAAAATCTAGGGGAAAAAATCATTAAAATAAATAAGATTATAAATAGATTTATGTCAGATTAGTCAGGGCTAGCTGCCTGAAGCTTTCAGGGCAGATTTTATCATCAGCCTAATGATAAAGAAAAACTGATTTTCAAAGTTTTTTGTATCTGAGGACTTTAGATAAAGAATTGTACATCTGTACTTTCTGTTTCTAATTCCTCACCTACAAAGAAATTAATGTTTGTTGAGAGCCTATTACTTGCCAGGCCTTTGTCTCTGATTATTTAATCTAATTACAAAAGTTCTTTTTTAGAAGACATCATTATCTTTATTAAAGAAATTAAGACACTGAAGGAACCACAAATTAGTTACTTGCTTAAAGTGACAGAATGAACAAACGTCAATGTGATCTAGGCCTTAATCCAAAATTGATGTTTCACTCACATTATGTTATCTTCAAAGCTAGTATTCACACAAACTTCACAAAGCATTTTTATAGGAATTTTCTCACTTGACAACATCTCTGTAAAGCAGGTAATTATTTTTCTCACATTACAAAGGAGCTAAAAGCCTTTAAAACCATTCTATGAAATGTAACCTTTAAAAAGCTTCCCCAAGGCAAAATTTATTCACTTCTTTGCTATTCCACTAAACTTGGTGTTTTCAATCATTGAGAAAACTGAGTTTCTTATTAATCTTTACTAATTCCATACCTCGTAGAGTGTCTGATACCTACTGAACCTCAAAAATGATGAATGAATGAAGAAACAAATGAACAAGCAAACAAACATGCTCAGTTTAGGCTGATGGTGGAACACACAGATGATATCCAGCAGAAAAAGTCATCGAATAAAGTTTATACATACGTTGGACCATAAAATGCTGAAATTCATTTCAAGAGAAGTTTCTACCTTGGGCAATATGATCAGTAATACCAGTGGGAGTAGATTCATTCATAGAAGCACTGAATGGAATTGGCTCATAACGAGGAAGCATCTCTTTTTCTAGGTTGTCTGCTGCTGGGGATGTCACAAAAGATGAATCATATTTTGAATCATATTTTGACCTTTGAGAATATTGCCTATATATAAAAAAAAATTATTGTATAAGAAACACAAGTCATTGCCTACACCTTAAAGAACAGTGTGTTAAGGTCTGAAAATTAATTCTTATTTGTAAAGGAATCTTTTAAAGTTATTTACAACAGTAAAATGAAGTCTGTTTCTGCTACAAAAACATTAAAAATATGTTCTGACCTACTTATACAACTTAAGAATTGTCACTCTTACTACACAGAAAATGTATATCTGATGTACTAATTATTATGCTATAAAGTTTCTGAAAAGAAAAAGCACTTCAAATCTGTATAAACATGTCCACTGCCAATATTAACTGGGAAGCTACTTTGAAAGCAGTTCATATAAACACTATTTGCTAAAGCATACACTAGCAATATCTCTCTTTCATGAGGTTTAAGTTGGTTGCCATTTATGACAGTGTATCTACCAAATCCAAATAATTACATTATTTATCTACCTGTTCAGACAGATTCATTTTTGTATACTTACACAATTTCCCTATAATTTTAAACAGAAGGATTAAAAATTTGAAATGTAACTAATAGGATTTATAAAATTTGGGAATTCAAGAAAAAATTCCAAACTATAGAAACCAACGGTATTTGCCATTAGTTTTCCTTTATTCTGGAATTTGAACCCCCAACAGCATGGAATGCTATATTTAAACCAAAGGTAGACAAGTTTTACTCTATTTTTAAAAGCAAAATTAGTTTCAGCTTATAGCGAAATGGAAAATTTCCAGGGGTCCTTTGGTTAGGCAATGTTTCACATCTTGAATTATCGCAATATCTATAATAATTTTATATAAAATTAAAAACCTTTCACAAAGATCAGAATCTGGCCTACCCAGATGGTGACGATCGTCGTGCTTGTCCTGAACGTAAAGCTTCTCCAAGAGGGGAATTCTCAAGATTCTTGAACTTCTCTTGGCAAGTTTTCACATAAGAAAGCTTTCCAGCAAAGTATCCCATGATACAAGCAACTTGTTTATAAAAACAAACAGGAGAGTGTGATTTGATGTGCCTCTTTTTTTTTTTTTTTTTTATAGAGGCATGTTTTATTTATTTATTTGTTTGTTTGCTTGTTTTGTTTATACATGCACTGGGTACAGTCAGAAGCGCGGGAGGGTAAGAGAATTCACCAGAGCCAGAGCGGGGAGCAGAGCAGGCAGAAGGACCAAAGTACACTGCTGAGGGGAGCAGCGGGCGGCAGGAGAGGTCTGGGCGCCATGTGGGACCCTCCTCCGGTGGCCGGGGAGCAGCCGGGGATCGAACCGGTGCCGCTGAGGCCGCGGGCAGCTTGGCAACCCAGCGCTCAACCGCTGCGCCACCCGGGAGGCCCTTGATGTGCCTCTTTAAGATAAAAATCTTTTCTAAAGAACTGCCTAAAGGCTCTAAATATGTCTTTGGTATGTAAAGACAGATTTCCCAAATAATGACAAAGTGCCACATTAAATCATATTCAGAATTCATAGATTATATGGATATTATAATTCACTTTCACAACTTCAATTTTTACTATTTATTAAAATAGCTAGGAAAAGTATAGCAAAGTATAATGAAATGAAGTTTCATGTTTTAATGAAAAGAAATCTTTAAAAAGTAGACTTGAAAGTATACTACTTAATTCTTGATTAATAAGAATGTCTGGATAACTTTCTCTCCTCATGGACAGAACAAGATAATTTACTTTCAAGTACTATATCTTTATCAAGTAACTTAAGATTAATAGTTCTATTACATTATAAGAAGAGAAAAACATGCCTCTTTCAAGTAACTCATGATTTTTAATTAATAGTAAAATGCCTAAAGAGTAAATCCATTTAATGAAAAGCTTAAACAAACTGATCCGTCAATTTGTCAGATTGTCAAAGCAATAACCAAATAACCATTATGAGTAAGACAAGACAAAACATTTGATAAAACTAATTTTACTTAGGTAAAAAGCTAAGAAAATGAGTGCTGCTCATACTTACATATAAGTTTAGGAATAGAACCATATTTGGGATGACTTGAAAGGATTCCTAAAGACAAGAGCAAACATGTATGAGTAACACTGTTAGAAAAATACATATTTATATAATTAAGATGTGCAAATAGTTTTATGCGAAGCTTATATGAACAGTATATAAGAAAATGGCACAAATTATGGTAAAAAATGCCAAAGAACTATTCTGCGAAGTTATTATCTGACCTCCTCTAATGTGAAAAAAAGGAGTAATAAGTTAAGCAAAGCAGTATAAAGTCAGATAGATATATTTCTCAATAGCTTTCGGCAAGCCACAAGATATAAAGAAAAAAATCAGTACTCTCTTTAAATAATACCTGACAACTTTAGTTTTTGCCATAACCCCAGAGAAGTCTAAAAGCTATTTAAAAGAGAGAGCCAAGTGAATTCAATATGAAAAGAAATAAGAACATCCAAATTACAATCTATCAGAACAGGTGGTTTTAGCAAGATCACGACGCAAAATCAATATACAAAAACACAGACATATAAATATCTAAATACACAATTACCAAATGCAGGAACAAAAGAGATACCGGACATCTTTAATAAATTTGATAGCACATCAAAGCCAATGAAAAAAATCCAACAAAAATATGAATGATCTCTACACTAAAAATGACAAAACTTACTGAAAATGAAAGCTAGAAAAAAATGGGTAAGTACATCAAGTTCACGAATTAAAATTGTGCAAAGGTGATAATTCTCCATACTCATCTATAAATTCAATGCAATCCCAATTAAAATCAAGTTTTTCCCCAAATTGAAAAAGTTTAAGTCTAAAAATAAAGTAACAGTACAAAGGATCAAGGATAGATAGATTAATACTGAATAAAAACGAAACTGGAGAACTGACTACCACCAGATATCAAGATCCATGATAAAACTAAAGTAACTTCAGTCTAAGTGCAAAATAGATTAACTGACCAAAACCAGGAATAATGTCCAAAACAGATCCACACATACACAGTCACTTGATTTATGACAAAGGCAGCACAGCACTGCAGTGAACAAAAAAACAGTCTTCTCATTATATATATAAAAAGATATAGCTGATAAAAGACTCACTCCCAGAGTACATGAAGAATTCTCACAAAACAAACAAGGAAAAGACAATCGAATGGAAAAATGGACAAATGACTTAAACAGATACTTTACAAAAGAGGATATATTCAAACGGGGTATAGACAAAGACAAAAGAAGCTGTCCTCAACTTCTTCAGTCATGAGGGAGATGTAAATTAAACCACAATATAATTGATAATCATTGTCCAATCACAATGATTAAAATTCCAAAGACACAAAAGTAGCAGGTGTTGGTGATAATGTGATGCAAATAGAACTCTATTAATAAACTGGTATTGGAAGTATTAAATTGGTCCAAACAGACTGGAATATTTGGCAGTATCCACCAAAATTGAATATATACATAATCTATGACTCAACAAAGAGGCATGTCTTCATGGCAGAACCATTCATTACAGTAAATACTGGAACTATGAATGCCTCCCTGATGGAGCAAGGGGTTAAGACACACTATGAAGCTGCCCGCAGCCTCTGCAACACAAGTTCGATCCCCAGCCAGGGATCTACCCACATGACGCAGAAGACCTCCCCTGTCTCACCCGCTGCTCCCCTCAGCAGTGTATTTCAGTGGATCTGCCTGTTCTGCTCCCCACTGTGTCTCTGAAAAATCTTCTCACCACCACCCCACCCCTTCATCCCTGGCCTGTACCCCAGCTCTTGCATGCATAAATAAATTAATCTTTAGGGGGAAAAAAAAACGGAACTATGTAGTCACCAATGTAAAATCGGAAGCACGAATTGCTGTGGTACACTCACACAGCATAAAAACTATAGAGCAATGAAAATATATGGTCTACAACAATATGGATGAACCCAGTGATCTGCTAGTAAGCCAGATTTTCAGATAAATAGTACTAATTTGCAATGACAATCCATTTTCATGGCATAAATACTTGTATCACAACCAATTGCAAAAACAAAACAAAACACAACAGCTTACCAAATACCTGAAATTTTAACAATCAGCCTTCCAGAGCTGACACAAATCAGTGCTAGAATAACACTGGATGAATTAACAATGTTGACAGAAAGTATACAGAATACTTGACTGTACGATTTTATGAATACAAAGTTTAAAAACATATAACTGATTTAGGCTATTCGTCTTAATTCCTTCATACAACTGAAATGAAGAGGGAAAAAAGGAAGATGGTAACAGAATCTACATTTATACAAAGAAATTATTCGTTCATTCTGTCACCAAGTAGTTTAAGACCACTTAACAAAAATATACAAGCTCTGCAAACAAGGAAGTTAGGATAATGCAGGAAAAAGACAATTCTCACCCTCCAAATTTAGAGTCTGGAAAGATGATGAGGACAAACAATACAGTGTGATGGTTGCTAGTCACCCAAATAAGTATCTGAGTATCAACTATATGCACTATACCTTTTGTCAGATGCCAGATAAAGTCCGTTTTCTAATGGATAGTAGCAAGAATGTAGATAAACAGACTTATTGAAGGCTAAGGCAATCTTTTTTATTACAGATGATTGCATTATAGCAGCAGTATAGATAGAGGTAGACAGTTTAAGATATTTGAGGGCTGACCTAAAATGAACACTTACTGGCCAAGGCAGGTAAGAAAGAGAAGTGAAGGATGTCTGAGTTTCCTGGATGATACCATTCAGACAAGGGCAAAACAGAGTTGGGTTGGGGGAAATCAACTCAGTTTAGGATGAAGTTACTTCAGTTCGAAGAACTTGCAGAAAGCTATCAGTGTGGAGATACACAGAATACAGTACTGGGAATTTCAAGTAATAAATGGTCACAGAAGTCCACGTTATAGCTGGGTAATAGTACAAACTAAAAACTGAATGTCAAGGCAGAAGTTGGAATACCGAAAATGGAGGAACAAAGCCCAGAGTTGTAAGCATCAAGGTCATGGATTTTTGCCTCATAGTGCTGTATACTAAAATCAGTATATAGTACACATTAGACATTTTTAAAAATATGAAAAATGAGGGAATTGTCTGAGGTGGGAGAAAAATCAGATGTGTGCTGTTATGGAAGCCCAGAGAAAAGAATGTTTCAAGGAGTAGTTAAGAGCTGTGTACAATCAAGAGCAAAAACTGTCCAGTGAATTTCAGCAAAAAGGAGGTTGTACTGAAACTTTTTTAAGATGTTTTGGTAAACGTTAGAAAATACATATAATCTATGACACAAACTGCAATTGGTTAAAAGAAGTAAAAAGTGTTAATTCATGAAATCTGGCTTCAAATGCAAGACAGCTGGGTGCAGTTGGGAAGAAATAAGGGAAGATTTTTCTTTATGTTCTCAAGTTAGATTATTACAGAGCATGTTTTAAAAGAGAACATGCAGAAAGGGAATAGAAAAGGCTATGTAGAGACACAGTGTGGATGAACACGTATACAAAATGTTAGGCATCTGGTTTAAATGCAAAATGTCTTGATGGATTCTGAATTCCTTTTCTAAAATATATCCCTAAAATTTGAGATTGTTTTTATTAGAATATCCCACCCCAAACACAAAACCTCAGTTCAGTTTCAATACAAGAGCCCTTAATTTCATAAGAGATGCATGTTAGTCAATGTTTTTTGTTTTTACTCAAAACATCAAAACCCCAATAACAAAACAAATCTGACAAAATTATATGGAAGACATGCTTTGACATACTTAATAACACTGTTTTGCTTATGTTGTAACTTTTGCAAATGAAATGAGAGGTATAAGTTGCTATGATGACAAGTCATTCATTCCCCAAACGATGACTAAGAACACAGGAGAACTTTGGCTACATGAATAGTTTACCTTTTCAGCAATGGGTCTTAATATTTTCAGTAGGATTCACCTCAACTATATGAGAACAGTTTACAGGATATATCTACAACTGGAAAAAGAAATGTCTCTAGTTTAACTTCTTTGTCTGATTTTGTTATGTGTATAAATAGCGTGGAAGGCATTCCCAATTCTTACCATTCCTGCCTTGCCTTCAAGTTCTCCAAAGTCTCCTACCCTACCTAAATCCAAAACTTGGAAATCTCATCTTCTTCGTAATCTAATCAAAATCATTATTTCTCCTGGTTTTACCTTAGCAATCCAATGGTATTTTCACTCCTCCCTGCATGATTTTGTCCCTCTAGCCCAGTCACTCTCCTGACTGTCCCTCCCAATAATCATGTTTATTATTCTGATAACAAGGTCTTGCAATATTCTCCTTTTACTTTAAATCCTACCCATCTTCAAAATCTGCTTCTTTCAAGAAATTTTCCTGATGATAGCAGTTGTGGAGAGATCTTTCTTCTTTGAAGACCTCAGCTCTGGAGTTTCTATTAAACAACTTAGTAGCATATTAAGTATTTAATTATACGCCCTATTTGCCTCAACATTGTGTTTACACTATTCCCTCAGATAAACATAAACAACTCTAAATTTCTTTTGTATAATCCCCCTCATGCCTGTTCCAATCATTTTTAGTTAGACAGGAATTAGTAAAACAAGCAGTAATCAACACTGTAATTTCTCTATTTCTAACTCCCTATGCCACAGTTTTTCCTTAAAAGCAATGTGATTAAATGTTATTTCATACCATATAAATAATCACAGTCTCTACTATAACAAAGGACATGTAAGTGCCTAGGTATCTTATGTCCATTCTTCAGATTCCTGGCACTGTAGCACATTATAATAAGGTTCTTTGGGAGTTCTTTAAATGACAAAATTTATTTCAAAAACTCATTCCATTTCTCTCTTAAACTACTCTTCTCAACTAGTTGTGTCAACACTACTAGCTAAGTACTTCATACTGCTAATGTGAAAAAGGTGAAATGGTTGCACTTTTGGAGAAGCTAGTTAATTAAAAAGATATAGTATACAGAGAAGTAGGATACAGGATATAGGGAGACTATCCACAGGTCACCATAGTTTTGTGGAACACCTAATTCTAAGGAGCTAGTTTGCAAAGTAAATGTAATGAGACTTAAAGTTGTACAGACCGACACGTTAACACTTAACCTAAACTCAACTTCAAGTATGAATACACTGCACTATTTAAGCCAATAGAATTTGAGACAAGAAAGTGTCCTCAGTCCACTCTTCTATTATAAGACAAAACTGGTTTGTGGAGCTAGGAAGCCACTGGCCTTTAAACCAGTGCATTAAAAAAAGAAAAAAAAAATCACCTTGAGTTTGTTGAAACCCAGATCCCTGGGTCCTAATTCAGATATTATGACTCAGTAGCACTGGAATGGAACCTATACATCTGGATTTCTAAGAAGCTCCTTGGTCACAGTGATGTTGATTGCCTACCTGGATCAAGTTTATATCTCTAACTCTCTGCAAACCACAGCAGGCTTTTAGTTACTTTCTTGGTCTTATAGATTGTTAATGCTGTTACAGTGCAGGAGGTCACCACATTCTCAAATCAAGGTATCTTCTGAGGTTATAGAAATTTACCAATGATGTTTAATAAGGTATGTTATCATTATCTACAACTCAGAAAAATAATAATCAAAATGCTAAATAATTTGAAGTTTAAATATTTACCTTTACTAATTAATCCTTGGGTAATCAACATACTTGTTGCAGCCAAAGGAACGGCTATAGGAGGAAAAAGAACTTGTTAATATCAACAAAAGGAAAAGATTTTGTCTGAAGTTCACTGGATAAAGTTATATTAGAAATTCATCTAAGAAGTATGTTGCACAAAAAAGCCTTTAAGAAATTTTTCAAACTGAAGTCAATGGAAATAGAAAAGCATTTTAAATTTAAGAAAACATTACAAAATGTTAAATAATATAATTCAAATGCTATTTAGATTTATGCTCAAAGAACCACTCAAATTAGCAATTAAGGCAATATACTAATTAATAACCAAAAATTACTTCCTTTACTTAATCCAATATACATAATTGGAAAAAAATTGTATCATCACATTATCCCTCTGGGTCTGCTGCTATATTTACAAACTTTAATATTTTCCTGGTTAATATTTTACAAAGCAGACAAACTCATAAAACGTAATCTGTCAGGAGTCTTCAAGATAACATCAGCCCCATCTCATCACCTAAAGTGAAAGCTTAAGTCTCATGAGTGGAAATAAAGAGAAAAGATTCCAGTTTCAAACCAAAAAAATAAAGTAAAAGTAGAGAAATACAGAAACCAGTGAACATGATTTTCCAATAAAATTTTTTATTAATGCAAAAATATGAATTTCATACAACACAAGCAAATATTCATTTGATTTTTTTCCCCTTAAACATTCATAAATGTAAAAACCATTCTTAATTCTTAACTCATAGTCATTCAAAAACCGATTGGGGGCCTCCCCGGTGGCGCAGCAGTCGAGCGCGGGGCTGGGAGGCTGCCCGCAGCCTCTGCAGCGCCGCCGTTCGATCCCAGCCTGCTTCCCAGTCACCGGAGGAGGGTCCCATATGGCGCCCAGACCTCTCCTGCCGCCCGCTGCTCCCCTCAGCAGTGTACTTCGGTCCTTCTGCCTGCTCTGCTCCCCGCTCTGGCTCTGGTGAATTCTCTCACCCTCCCGCGCTTCTGACTGTACCCAGTGCTTGTATAAATATATAAATAAATAAATAAATAAAAACTATTAAAAAAAAAAACGATTGGCCTTTGGGCTATAGCTTGCTCATTCCTCTTCTAGACATACACAGGCAACTTAGGAGTGAAAGTAATTCAAGTATTTGAATTATTAGAGATTTCATGATAAAAATCTATTCACTGTGGCATGAGACGTTATTAGCTTTGTCATCAGACATATGTGCAGAAACCCTAAGGTTTGAATCCTTGGCTCTACAACTAAAAGATTTTACCTTTGCTGGAAAATGATTTTTTTAATGTTAGCTGGATAAAATGCCTTCATTATTATTAAATGTTTTTTAACAGACAATTCCCTTTTAATTATAGCATCAGCACAATCTGCAATCATTTTTCTCCTTCAGGTTAGCTCAAGGATTGCAACATGAAGCACTGAAGAATTATATAAAGTTAAAGGGAATGTAATGAATTACTTAACCATCTCTACAATGGACAAAGCCTTCCCTATTTCACTTTCCTCTTAGGTCAAGATGGTATAATGCAAAGAATAGTCTGATTAAAAAGATTCTAGTACTGATTCTCCCATTCATCAGTAAGAGGGCTGCTTAAAATCTCAACTTTTTTATCATCCAATAAAGAGCAATGGATCAGAACTAAGGTCACTTTCTAACTTATGTATTTCATCCCAGAAAAAAGAATAGCAAAATGGAAAGGGACCACAGACTATCTAGTCTTTGTCCTAATCAGAGTAAGCTGATAGCCATAAAGGACAGGTCATTTGCTCAAAGCAACAGAAGATTAGTTTGTGGTAGACTTAAGAACAGAACCCAAGTATCCTGACTCCAGGTCAGTGGCCTTTTCCACTGTACTACATGATTACTATTTCTGAGTCTGCTGAGTGTTTCTTTGGGCAAATCAGTAATACTGCTATACAGGATATTTCTGCAGTATGAGCACTCCCCTAATGATATCCAATACAAGGGCTCCTAAAATTCCTTAAACTCTTCTCCCCTTACAATAGCAAAATGCTACTCTACATTCATAATTGCTTTCAACTGAAATTTTTATTTCATCACCATAGAACTAAGTCATCTAACAAAGATAGTTTAGCAATTCCATAATAAACTAAATTGAATTAATCCCCCTAATGATCCCATGAGAGAGGTTAATTACTAACCCCATTTTACAGATAAATGGGAAACTTGCCCAAAATATCACAACTAAAACATGAGAAAGCTGGGGTATGAACTTCATAGTTAGACATCAGAGCCTGTGCAGCTCTCATTCACAATACTGTCTAATTTGAAAATCAGAAGCATACATACATGTATGAAATATTACTCATAAAATCTGCTAAGTGATATATGAAAAAAATATGAATTCATACACCTTTCCAGTAATTCCAGGTAGTACACATTAAACTGTCCCATTTTTTTCCTTATTAAGGTAACATTGGTTTACAACATTACATATGATTTAGGGGATTAGGTTCATAGTTCCTCACATTATGTTACCCCATCACCCCCATGATCAAAGTACCCATAATCCTTTACCCTAGGCCTTTGGACACCCCTTATACTTTGTTCAACTGACACTTTTATGGAGACTCTCTTATTACTTGTTTATTTGCACACAGATACAACTGGTTTTAAAAGTGAGTAAATAGGGTCATAATTTTAAGTGACTGGAAATAAGATTCCTTCATGGTTATACTTTAAGTAGATCAGAGCAGAAAGTTACCTTAAAGAAACAGAATGGCCCCAGATCAAGAAGTCTAATATTAGATAAGGATGAATGTATTTAACACACCTAAAAAAAAGTATCAAAATTCCATTGCTAAGTACTTTTTCTACACAGTTCTACTTTCATCAGAACATTTTAAATCAATGGGCATAAGATAATACTCTTAAGTAACATAGACTCCATTACAAATCCAGCAAACATCACATACTATATAGAATATCCTTATTTGACGATATGTTAAAAGTGTAAAATTTCCTCACCTATAAATATTAGTCCTTCTGATAATAAATGTAGAATCCCCTATTATCTATAGCAGTCAAGGTTCAAGGTTCTCTGTTTTTTCACTGTTTGATACTGTTACCATATGCAATATCTGGATTATCTCTGTTTTAAGAGTAATCACTACTTGGGCCTCCCTGGTGACCTAGGGGTAAGGCTCAGCACTCACCTCAATAGCCTGAATTTGATCTCTGGCCAAGGAACTAACCCTCATGTCTTGCCCACTGCTCCCCTCAACAGCGTATTTTAGTAGATCCACCTGTTCTGCTCCCCACTCTGTCTCTGGTGAATCCTCTCACCCCATGAACTATTGGCCTATACCACAGCTCTTCTATAAAATAAATAAATATTACAAACAAAAGTAATCACTACTTATCAATACATTAATTTTGGCTAATGTAATTTCCCCCTAATCTAGATATTGTATACAACTAACAATCTATTCACTAGACTGCACCAGATATGTAATACAAGTCTAACTTGCATTCAATCTATTTTAATACACAAAATTACTTACACTTCTATTATTCATATATCACAACTACTTCAGTCAAGCATACCTGAGTACCCTATTATCACTGCCCTTCCATGTACTTTTAGCACAATGCTGTTAGAGCTATTTAGAATGTTACAGCTATTTAGAATGTTATACATGTACAGCAGCATAAATTTATCAGCCAGAAATAAATCTGGATACCATACTATCAATGAGACCATTAGCTTTACTTTACAATGATACTAAATGCTATCTACCAATGAGATTTGGCTTTCTCTTAATCCTGTGTCAACAGACCAGAAATTAAATCACTTAACTCTAGTTACTCTAGGCATTCCTCCCAGATAAAAAAGGTGATGCCAGAGTACAACTGAGTTTTTTGATGAAGTATTTCATACTATGAGCCATGAGAATTTTTTACAAGTCCTTAATTCATCATGACTATGCAATCTAAAGCAATTATTCTTATCTGGAGATGTGCATTATCAACTACTTCTCAGGTTCTTTCTAGTTTGAAACATCTGTTAAATCTGAATATTAGACTGAGAATAAAGTACAAAGGATTCTATCAAAACTTCTATTTCTACACTTTGCTCCCTGGTGAACTCACTAACACAACTACACCAAAAACATAAATTTCTCACCTAAATCTTTCTTCCTAGCTCTAGTTGCTTATAGATCTCCAACAATCAAACGTTGCACAGAATGTCATACCACAAAGTCAATCTGTCCAAACTAATCTTTTTCCTTCCTTTAAATAAGAAATCCTCAAATTAAACAAATAATTGTGTCATCATTTGTTTTCTATTGTAATTTGAACCTAATATTCCCTTCATTCTCCCTGAGTCAATATATGTTAAAATTCTATTGTGTCCTATAAAAAATCTTGTCTTCCATTTCTCTAGTCCCATGACACTGCAACTATATCTACTCAATAACTGTATACCTAAGTGACTACCAACATGAGCTTGTTTGGAGAGAAGTGGTTCCCAATCTTGACACCACCACTCACCAGCTGTGTAACACTTTTTGTTACACAGAGAAATGTTAACAGAGTAACCTCCATAAAAAGGGGAGGCCCCATGTTTCCTACAGCACCTAATGAAGGGTGGAGCTGAGTGGCAAGAAGCTAGAGAAAAGACTTGGAGGAGACATGTGGCGCAAAGACATGAAGAAGTCCTATTTGCTTCTTAGCTTTGGACTTGAACCAGGGTCTTGGAGAACAAAAGATACATGGAGTCAAAACATACAGAGACAGCTGGAAGAAATATATGGGTGAGAGGACACATAGGGAGGTTGACGATAGTGGCCTTTAACTTGATTTGTCCTTCGATTTTGCTCCTTTGTCAGATTTGCCTGGTCCCTTCCGCTCCTTTCCTATGGTTCCCCACCAGAAGGTGCCTTAGACTTGGATCAAATTTTTGGTCCTCAGTTGCCCCACTTTGGGCAAACCCAGTTTGTCTGGACATTTATCCATGAGTAGATGGGTAACTTTGGGTGCTTTATTAGAAAACTATATCCTTTCTTCTCTTGTCTCTCTATGCACACTATTCTATTAAAAGTTGATACTAACAGTATGCCTTGTAAAGACAAGGCATGTAAAGATAATGTAGCAGGGCCTCCCCGGTGGCGCAGTGGTTGAGCGCTGGGTTGCGAAGCTGCCCACTGCCTCTGCAGTGCCGGTTCGATCCCCGGCTGCTCCCCGGCCACCGGAGGAGGGTCCCACATGGCGCGCAGACCTCTCCTGCCGCCCGCTGCTCCCCTCAGCAGTGTACTTCGGTCCTTCTGCCTGCTCTGCCCCCCGCTCTGGCTCTGGTGAATTCTCTCACCCTCCCGCGCTTCTGACTGTACCCAGTGCTTGTATAAATAAATAAAAATAAATCTTTAAAAAAAAAAAAAATAAAGATAATGTAGCAGATAGCAGAACCCACTAAGTGAACAAGTTTGGGCATACCAAGGTACCCCTCATTCTGCAGTGTAATAACACTAAGTAACTCAGTTAACGTCTCAAAACCTCAATTTCTTCACCTGTAAAGTAAGGATAACAGTTATCAACTTAAAGGGTTGATTTTACATAATCCATGTATACTCAGTAATGCCATTACAATAACAAAGATATTACCTCATGAGCTTGAAGTTTTAGAAATTATTACTATACAGTCCTACATCCTTAATCAACCATTTTAGCAATAACCACACCATACCAAAAGTGTGCCAATACTTACTACATGAAGTCGTTATAATTTCAGTTATTAAAAAGTAAAATTTCTATTACAGAATTTAACTTACATCGGAACCAGAAGCTTTCATCATTGCATTCTGCAAACACTCTTCTTTCCTCCTCCGTTGGAATGTAATCAGCCCCTATGTCTATTTCAAAGGAAAATTGGCAAGCATTATATGCCCATGGAAAAACTATGTCTAAAAAATTGGTTTAGTCTAGGTGGGTCTCCCTGGTGGTGCAAGGGTTAAGTCTCAGTGCTATCAAGCTATCGCCAGCCATTGTGGCATGAGTTTGATCCCTGGTCCGGGAGCTAAAACACATATGACACAGCAGACCTCTCCTGTCTCACCCACTGCTCCCCTTAGCAGTGTATTTAAGTATATCCACCTGTTCTGTTCCCCATTTTGTCTCTGGTGAAACCTTCGCCCACCCCCACCCCGTACATCTAGCCTACACCCCAGTTCTTGTATACATAAATAAATAAATCTTAAAAATATTACCTCAGTCTAAATATTAAAAAAAACTCCCAATTTTTTTTTTTTTTTAATGAATAGAACAACTGATTTATTAACTTTTAACAAACCTGACTTCAAACAGAAGTTACTACCTGCTATTCAGAAGGACTGGCTATATAATGTGCTGGCTATAATGAAAAGTTAAGATTTGGGACAACTTATTCAAACTAAGAATTTCAAGATGGCCACAGGTCACAAGCCAATCCAACTGCTACTGTTGCTCAAGGCAGAAAAGTGCTGCTTACATAAAATATACTTCTAGTTATAAACTGTTAATTGATAGTTACGGGGAATTGGTCTTGGAACTTCTGCATTCGGCTCTTGAAAATCAGCCCTCCCATTCATCTTTCCTGCATCAAAAACATTTATATTAAGTATTAGAAATCATTATGACAGATCAAAGTAAATCAATATATAGTAAAATCACTAGGCCATATGTCAACCAGTTAACATTTAGCTGACACTATTACATCAGAAGTATCTGACAAACTAAAATGTTAACTAAAGAAGTCACAAGACCTATTAACTGATTGGTATCTTAAGGCCCTTAATTGACAAAGCAATGTATGATAAGTATGTCAACTGATCCTATCAAACTAAAATATAACAGGATAATCAATAACACAATAGACATATTTTCCCCCTGAAGCTGATTTCACACCTTATGTCATTTTGTAAATATATGACCAAGGATTATGCTAATTCCCCAAAACATCAGGAAAAATCTCAAAAGTCATTTCTGAGTTTTCAATTTCAAAAAATGAAATAATCAGGGAACATGCAAACTCTAACAAAGCAACTAAAAAAAAAAAATGGAGTAATAATGACGCCATATTCTTGTGCTATAAAGCTAAATGCAAATTTTGTATCCTCCAAACGTTCCTTTCTCCTGAACCAGACTTAAGACACGAAATTTTAAAAATGCACGCCATTTCAAGATTTCAAAAACATATTTTTTTTCACCCAGGCCTTGGGCCTTTATATAATTGTGGATAAGTGTACTTTGCAAAAACGTTCACATAGGATCATGATTATCCCATCTTAAAAATAAGTCACATGAGGAAAGACATGTAAAAAATAATTTACATGTAATAAAATAACAAATGGGGCCCTTGTATATTTCGTTTATTTAATAAGCCGTCGGGCCTACTACTTGGCAATCCTTTAACTAAGGAAAACGAATAGAAAGACAAGACCAACTGAGTTTCTAAACGGATGGAGGCTGCTTAATAAATTACTTATATCCTTAAATAAGTAAAAGAAATGAAGCCCTCTATTTCCAGTAGCAGCACCCTACCTCGAAACGCTAGAAAGAAACGGTCAGGGCTGACAAGGAAGCTTTAGACAACACTATTTTTTTAACCTCTTAATGACAAAGAAGAAAACTGAATTGAACCCTCGTAGGCCTACGACCATCGACTCCCGCACTCCATCCTTTCTCTCCCCCCTCTCCCCCCCAAAACACCCCACACATCAGTCACCACGAGTCACCCCCTCGCCTCCCCCGATCACCGGCTCTCAGTAGCCAGAGTCCCAAAGCGCGATGGGCCCAAACGCACAGGCGGGAAAATGGCGGAAAGTACTGGCCGCGTAAAGGTAGTGAGTGGGTTGGTGGGGGTCGGAACGCGGCTCTCAGCAACGCCTCACCCACCTCCAGATGACAGCGGCGGGCGAAGGCGCGGCGAACCCCCGTAATCAGGGGCAGAGGGCCCGGAGGGGCGCCAAGAAGGGTCAAGGTGGGGAAAAGAGCGCACGGAAGCCGCAAGGCGCGCGGGTCCACAGAGGAGTTGGGGGCGGGGAGGGTACAGCGACTGGGCCGCCAAGAAGTCACCCAGCTACCAGCTCAAAATGACCGCGACCCGGAAGCACTGGGGACGTGCGGACGGAAATAACGTCAGACCTCCCCGCAGACGGGCAGCCTCGGCCGAGACGCATGCGCCTGTCTCTCTATGCCCCGCCCTCTTTTGCTCGTCCCTCCTCCTTTCCTTCCCGGCCCGCGGGGCTCAGGAGCTGCACTGCGCCTGCGCTCGCCTCTCCGAGCGGCCCGGGATCCCTGAGTAGCTAGCGGTCCGGGAGCGGCGTCGCGGGGTGATAGCTCTGGCCGCCCTTGTGACGCACCGCCCTGATCGTCCAATGACCGACCTGTAGGGACGGTCAGAAACCCCTGTTATCCCTGCTTGAGAGTTACCGATTGCTCTGTTTTTATGTTTTACATCGTTTATGCCATTCTTTGAGCCCCTACGTTAAATGGTGTGAGCATACCCACTTGACTGTTCGACTGTTTTGTGTCTGGCTTCAGGATATTTCTGGGACTTAGGGAACAGTATGTTACCTCTCTGAATCTCAGGATTTACTCATCTGAAAAGTGGAAATAGCATCTGCCTCATAGGATTGTTAGGATTACGCAACACACTAAAAAGAGGCTAAAGCACTCAATGATTCTCTATTAATGGAATGACCTCTGTTCATTAGACATACTTCCACCTCTACCCATCATTCATCCATTCATTCTACAAATATTTATTGATTGCCTATTATGAGCCAGATACTAAACGTTATTGGTGATTCAACAGTGACCAGCCCTACCAATTTGTTTCATCAACTCATAAAAAACTCTCAGATTTCTCTTCTCTTTCTGCCCCCCACTGCCAATATCCTTATTTGATATTTTTCATTTCCTCTAAATTATTTTTCCACAGACATATTTAAGAGAAACAGCCTATGGGAGAGCCATCTAAAATTTAATAACTCCCATCATGCACAAGATAGAAAATTCTTCATGGCTTAGCCTCTGTCCTCCTAAATCGCACTTTCTTCTATTGTAATATTTATCAATAAGACACAGAGCCTGCAACCCTTTGCATTCACTGTTCCTTGTTTACTGTTCCTTTTGGCACAACCCTCCTCACTGCCTTGTCAATTTGAGTGATATATCAGAATCCTGTTTTTATCTAACCTTTACGATTCTGTTTTATATTAAATCTGTTTTACATGATCTTCCTGAAACACATCCCAGAGAATGAATCATTCCTTTTTTGTGCCTCTTCACATCATACATACTTCTGTTACCACAATGAAGTTCCTCAATCTGTTGTGACCTTTTTGCTTATGTTGGTCTCTGTTACAGAACATCTGTAAGACTAAGACCTTGACTTATAAACCTTTATACTCTCAAATATATTCCTAAAACAATCACTATTGTAAATTAACATTCACTTTCTCCTTGGGTCAAGCTAAGTTGGTTCAAGGCCCAAGGCCTTGTAATTGTTGTTCTGTTTTCTAGAACATTGTTCCTCCAGGTGTTCATGTGCTTCTTGTCTCAGGTTGTAGCTGGTATCATCAGATCAAAGAGATACTACCTGATTACCCAATTTTTATTTATTTATTTTTGACTACCCAATTTGTAAAACAGCACCCAAGGCACTCTCCATGTTACTTCATTATTGTTTTCATAGCACTTATCATGACAGTTGTATGTTTATTTTCTCACCTCACTCACTAACAGAAGATCCATGAGAACAGGAGCCTGTCTGGCATCCAAATGATTGGCACATTGTAGTAGTTAAAGAATTTGTTGAATTGATTTTTACAAGAAGCAAAAATGAGAAAATATAATGAGTGAACTTCATGCTAAAGCAAAATCAATGATTCCTTTGCTTACTGAGTAGGTTACGATTCCAGAATCTGGTTTTATCATACTCTGTAATTCACTTAGCCAGGCCTAAAACACAGCACATGGTAGGTATGCCACATATTTCTCAGCAAACAGGTCAATTAATGAATTGCATTTCTACCAATGAAAAGGTATGTAATGTGCTCTTTCTGTGGGAATAAATAAGATTATAAACATTAAAGTTAAGCTCATTTTCTATGCTGGCATTTAGAGAGTTATTGAGTACACTGGTAATTTGGGTAATAGAACAATCAAAGATTTCAAACATCCACTGAGTAAGATCCAAAGTCTTACTGAACATCGATTCACATTTGGCAGAAAGAGTCTACAATATTTAGAAGCCAATTCAAACTGTTGGTGCTTTCATATTGAACTCTGTAATCACCAGAAATCTATCTACCTGGATTAAGTGAAATCAATTTGCTTTCAGAATACCTCCAGTGAGTTAAGATCTAATGAAATGTCACCATAAGAAATGTTCACTTATTAGACATAACTTTAAAAAATTAATTTTAAAGGAATTATTTCAGGTACATGATTCATATAAATGAAACCCATTTAATAATTTCCTCCTGGATTTCAGCATCAAGAAAGTTTGTCTTTGCAGATGAACTCTTGAACTCTTATCGTAATTACTATTCAGCATATTTCCACTTAGGCTCCATGAAGGTAGAGACTAATTTGTTTACCATAGACTATCAAGTGTTCAATACATATTTATTGCTCAAAATTTAATATCACAGAAGCCAAGGAAAGAGAATGTTACAAGAAAGAAGGAATGGTCAGTCACATCTAATGGTCATAAGAACTGAGCACTATCTGTTAAAATAGCATTAAAGTTATTTACAACTTTTACTAAAGTAGTATCATTAAAATTTAGATTAGAATGGAATGAGAAAAGAGTGATGGGAATAGTGTAGAGGAAAGTGTACACTGCGCCTCTACGACACTGTTTGATGAAAGGAAAGCAGCGTGGTAGCTAAAGGGAAAATAATGAATGAATAATGGCTAGATTTGCTTTGTTTTGTTTTTTCTTTTGTTTTGCATAGATGATCTGGGGTGCAGGCCAGAGGTGTGGGTGGGGGATTCACCAGAGACAGTATGGGGAGCAGAACAGGCAGATCTATTGAAATACACTGCTAAGGGGAGCAGAGGGCAAGACAGGAGAGCTCTGCTGCGCCATATGTGGGTTAGCTCAATGACCTGGATTGAATTCAGGCTGTAGTGGTGATAATACTGCAAATTAACCCCTAGGCTACCAGGGAGGCCCCTGGTTTTATTTTTTAATACCATACACTTTAATTTTCACAAGGGAGCAACCAGGAAATAGAATAGTTAAATATACAGGAGCAAGAAGGGATAATTAATAGCATAAGACAGATTTACCAAGTGGCATTCTGTGAATGTGCTGTAGGTATGCCACAAACTATTGATCCAGTCAGCCTTTAGGATGAGCTATGGGAAGAGCCTGCACAACCTACTTAGAGTTCTTTTAAGGGTAGCTGCTAGGAATGAAAGTTTAATGGTATGCCCAAGTACTCTACAGATGATGAAAACAATGGGCAACATTCAGGTCTTCGCAAGCACAAATGTCAGAAAATCCAGCAGAAGGGAGACCATTGCCCATCATTGATAAGGAGGTGGAGGAACTAATAGAGACATTTATGTTCTAGATGGCCAGGGGGCATGGGAGACCTCCCATGGTAGAGACACAAAGAGAGAGGCAGGGGCCCCTCAAGGGTGCAGTTCCAAAGAGTAGCCAGGTAGAGCAGCCCCAAATCTATTTTCACGTTAACTGGATATGCCGTTTATTGTTGATATGTCCTTTTTGTGGTGTCCAGGACAGCTGCAACGAGAATGCCAGAACAGGGGCCTCCCTGGTGGCGCAAGGGGTTAAGCCTCAGCACTACAAAGCAATGCACAGCCACTGCAGCATGAGTTTGATCCCCGGCCAGGGAGCCAACCCACATGGCACAGGAGACTTCTCCTGTCTCACCCACTGCTCCCCTCAGGAGTGTATTTCAGTAGATCTGCCTGTTTTGTTCCCCACTCTGTCTCTGGTGAATCCTCTCACTCCCCCACACCTCTGGCCTGTACCCCAGTTCTTGTGTGCATAAATAAATAAATCTTTTAAAAAATAAATGAATGGATGTATTTTTAAAAGATTTATTTATTTATGCATACAAGAACTGGGGTACAGGCCAGAGGTGAGGGGGGTGAGAGGATTCACCAGAGACAGAGTAGGGAGCAGAACAGTTAGGTTGACTGAAATATACTGCTGAGGGGAGCAGCAGGCAAGACAGGAGAGGTCTTTTGTGCCATGTGGGTCAGCTCCCTGGCTGGGATTGAACTCCAGTGGCTGTCAATAGCTTCATAGTCCTGAGACTTAATCCCTTGTGCCACCAGGGAGGCCCAATGAATGTATTTTTTAAAAGTCTCTTAAAAAACAGAATTCGATCATCATTAAAAAGTTGTGGTCAGGGCCTCCCTGGTGGCGCAGCGGTTGAGCGCTGGGTTGCGAAGCTGCCTGCAGCCTCTGCGGCGCCAGTTCGATCCCCCGCTGCTCCCCGGCCACAGGAGGAGGGTCCCACATGGCGCCCAGACCTCTCCTGCCGCCCGCTGCTCCCCTCAGCAGTGTACTTCGGTCCTTCTGCCTGCTCTGCTCCCCGCTCTGGCTCTGGTGAATTCTCTCACCCTCCCGCGCTTCGGACTGTACCCAGTGCTTGTATAAATAAATAAAAACAAATAAATCTTTAAAAAAAAAAAAAAAAAAGTTGTGGTCAGATATTTAAAAAATGTCTTTGTTAAACTTGGGCATTTAAACCTAATATTTGAAAGTCTTATTTAGAGAAACAAGCTCAAATTTAAAAATATATTATTTGGAATTGCTATACATTTTTATATTTATTTCCAAAAAAGTCAATATATATTTCATTCTCTTCACTTGTACTTTGTATTTTATTTGTATCACAATTACACTATAAGTAAATATATACCTTTACATATAAATAGATGTGTATATGCATTTTTAAAATTTTTTTAAAGATTTATTTATTCATGCATACAAGAACCAGGGTACAGGCCAGATGTGTGGGAGGGTGAAAGGATTCACCAGAGAGAGAGTGGGGAACAATACAGGCAGATCTAC